ACGACTATAGTTAATGCATTAAGATTACTTTACAAATCGTCTTCCAATAATTTTAGCACTTATCACCAGACATTTCTGAGAATGGTCACCAAAACAAAAAAAAAGATAAAAGGGCTATGATAGTTCCACAGTGTACCTGTTTGTTTTGAAGGTTTCTGTGTTGGTTTGCGTTCAGTATTTATCGATATCAGCAGAAATCTGCTAATGTAGAAGAAAGTATTCATTGCTTATCGATAGTTATTAAGCTAAAGGTTGGTCTTGCGTTAATAAATAGTCCTTTCAAATATTTAATGGACTGCAGAAGTTATAATGCTGGTTTTAGCGTAATATCTTATGCTGATTTATTTATTATTTAAGAGAAACCAAAAATATTGAAGAAATTATACTTAATAATAACAATTTCAACATATTTGCAAAATAGTTGAACTTGTCAATTTACTATTCTATAGATAAGAACATCCTTTCCTATTTTATAATTTTAAGGGTTTTCAGTTAAATATATACTTTTGTAACTTCACCCATTTCACCTATGAACTGGCAGAAATAGGTTTTGATGATTATAGAGAGATTTGCAGTTCCTCACAATATTTCTCTCCTGATTCTGTATTTTCTCTCCTTAAAATATTTTTCTTGACTATTCATTTTTGCTAAACCTTCAAATATTATATATTACTTACTTACTTACATAAATCGCTATACCATATATTAATTATAATTATATTCATAACTGCATATAATTTTTTTCTGTATTAGACTCGATGATTGAGTTCCTTTTACTCTTCTTGGCGTAGGGTTTCAGACTTAGCTTTAGACTTTTGCATAGGTTTAAAATGTTTCTGTTATTCGGTAGTTATTTAAAATTTTCTATTTGATAATAAACTATTTTTATACTTATAAAATAAAAGATTTTTAATTTCTGGTCTAGGAATCTTAACTGAATTTCACCGACGGCAATTGGTATTATCGTATATAACATTAATTCAATATATCAATACAGTCAAGTGTCATACTTACATAGTCAAGTTAATTTTTCTATTTGTTTGTTTTAAATAAAATTCTTATTTTAATTAATTATTTAAATATTTTAATAATAAAATATAAGTTGTCATGACTAATCTACTATTATAAGTCTCATGTATATCGGCAAATTTGAAGCGAGCTAAATACGTTTGTCTTCTTCTTTTCTTATATGTTTTGAAGACTTTGAAGACTATTATCAAAAAAATTTTTTAAAAAATCTAGACTTGATAACTGTTGAATTTAAGTGATTAAAATTAAATTATTTTTAAAAAATCACAAAAAAGGTTGCCTTATCGTTTTGGTGTCCCAAAATCAATCAGTGTCCGACGGCGAAGGTTCTAATCAGTTGATCTGGTGATCAGTTCGATCAATTATAAGTAAATATGAGCTTTTTTTTATCCATTATTACAATAAATTACAAAAACAAATAAAAATTTGTAATGTCGGTTAGTATTGAACAAACAATGATTTAACCTTACAGATAAGAAGTGCCCACCATACCATTTTCGTCGAGGAATAACATGAACTTAAACACATTTCTTTGCTTTTTTGGTGAATGCCTACACCAATAACATTTTTATGCGTTTAATCACTTAAAAATTGTCCATATCAGATAAGAGCTTTGAGAGACTTATTCGGCATAATCTTATTGTTTAATAAATTTCCAACAAATGCATGTACAATTGTTGTTGACTATTCACAGTTTTTCTCGTATTCCGCAGTTCCAGTAACGCTGCGGAGCGATTTTATTCAGTAAGTTTGCGCGTAATACATTGCGGTGACATTTCAATAGCTTCCAGTTGACGGGTCAACACGCATGTGTAAGACGCGGCTTTTTGTGAAGGTAGCACAGCATAACTTCTCTTCGCCATTTCCAGGAAAAAAGGTGATTTACGTTGATGACACTTACAAATTTATGTATTCCTTATACTGGAGGATTATGAAAGAAATAGACGGCTTACATAATGAGCATCTTCTGTAATCTGTTCTGTATATTGCTTAGAGGAATAATCTAAATCGATTTGGTATTACAGGCCAATTAAATGTTAAGCATACTATCTTGTATGATCCAAACCAATACATACCAATACATAAATTCATTGCATCCAAGTGCAATAATAATACATGCACTAAAAACTATTGATTCGTATCTAGATTCCGTCAAGTGCCATACTTATATATCAAGCTGATTGTTAAGCTTGTTTTAAATTAAATTTAGGTATATTTCAATAATCTCCTTAATTTTACATTTGGTATAGGAATTATTAAATATAAATTTTGACATAAGAAGTCTATTGTTAGATGAGATTAGGTTATACCGGCGAACTTAAGGATCCACTGACATATTGGCCTATTGCGCTACTATATAAGTCTATTGTTAAATGCTATTTAAGTTTTCTATTCGTTTATTTTCAGTTGATTTATACATTTTGTGTAAAAAGTATTTACTTACTCCCTTATTTGATAATAACAACGCGTTACTGGGTTTCGACCTGACGCAACATGTCTCCATAGGCGAACATCATTTCCGGTTAGTGCTCCTTCAACTTGATCAATCCACTAGAGAGACGGTCTACTTTTACGCCTTGTTCCTCCAACCATCTCTTCAAATAACTTTTTCGCTGAAGCATCTTCATCCATTCTCAAGACATGATCAAACAAGCGAAGCAGCTGCATATGCATACCCTGTATAATATCAATATTGTGATAAAGCTCGTACAGCTCGTGGTTTATTCGAATGCGGTATCCGTCGCCAACTCGTAGAGAACCGAAGATCTTACGAAGAACTTTTCTCTCGAAAACTTCTGTGCTACTTCATTTTTCTTTAATAACGTCCAGGCACATACAAAAACACAGATAGGATGAGCGATTGCCTACTAAGCCGTTAGCAGCTCCTATTTGTAATGGTGATACTTTATTTGATCTCCAGACTGACATAACGGTTGTTTCATGTAAAAAGTATATGAAAAAAATAAATGTAAAATAAAAGTTTTGGGCAAATAAAATCTATTATGTCACCTTCAAAGTAGGTTACATCAAATAAAATACAGCCATGCTCCTGCTTGACTCAGCCCTGTATAAATTTTTCATAGATTGATTGAGGTAAAGCCTTCAAATCCTTCAACAAATTTATTTTCTCTGCTTGCAATTGAATCGAAACGTTTTTATCTAAATAGTTATTTTAGCAACAGACTATATCAGGACCATATCACTTTGTGCCATCATAGAGCACTCAAAGGTATAATTGTAAAAATATACTAATTGGCAGATTGCATTCAAAACTGATAACACAGTGTGGTGATACCACTTAAGAGAAAGAAACTATAATAATATCTTTTGAGTTCTTCATTTTATAAATTTTAAATATATTTTTATAGAACGTATAACAATAAATTTTATTTTAACCGTACTTAAGGTCTGTTATTAAACACTTTAATTAATAAATATCTAATAATAATAAATATATAGATGAATATAAATATTTAATCAATCGTTAATATAATTGTAATGTAATTTTTTATAATTAATAAAAGGGCTGGAGTCAAAAAATTAAAACTTATGAAGCAGTTTTTATTTTATTTTTTTATTAATATATAGTATTCTACATAATTATTGCCGATGTTTCAAAGTTTATTTGACTTTTTACTCATGACAGAGGAAAAACTCTGATATATAGGTATAATAGTACTTCGCCATGAGGAAGAGGTCTAACAAGCTTAGAAACGTCGGCGATAGTTATATGCAATATTCAATAATATATTAATTTTTATCTATAAATAAAGGCAATCAAAAAATTCATTTAGTTAATATATAATAAGCAATAATTTTAATTAATAATTAAATTTTAATATAATTTTTATTTTATTATATATAAAAAATATTAAATTTTATGTCAATTATTTTTGAATCAATATTTTATTTTTATTGATTTATATGAACATTATAATAATATAGTATATTTCAAAATAAAGTAGAAAAATTTTTAGGTATATACTTATATTTTTTTTTGTTTGCTAATGTGTTATATTTTATATATATTATATATTTCAACGTAAACATATTTATATAAGTACATAGAAAAAAAATTATTATTTGAAAATATTATCATTAATTTTCAGAAATTTTTTGGTTTACTAATAGGTTTTGTATCAGCATAACATTCCTGTTAGTATTTATATACCCTAATTTAGATCAAAAAATAATAATTTTGATTTGATTGATAGATTTTTATGGAATTTTGATTGCAATATAATTTTCCATTATACCTATACAGGGCCTTATTTTAGAAAGTACTTTTTTACATAGCTAAAATAAACTTAATATCTTTTTGAAGATATTGAGAATAGATATACTATAGTCAGGTTCAGCATTTGATTTATACTTATGCGATTAACAATACAACATTAGCTTAAATATAAATAAGACGTGACCTGAGGACTTCAATGTTATATATGGTATGTATAATTTTACACCCTTATATCAGTAAAATCCATTAAACCTACGGTATTTTTTCAATAGTCTCTGCTTATAAATGCTGGAGGATGGTGGATTTTCTAAACCGTCTCTTTGTCTCTTTGTTTTATAGTACAGAACTATTTTTGATACAAAAATAATAAAATAATGATTTAGATAATGATATAAATATAATACATTTATATACATAAATATAGGGTATTGATCTTTCTTAATCTCGATTCGGATGCGGAAACTATGATCCATAGATACAATTCATTCCCATCACCAATAAAATAAACAAACCTTTCAAACACATGTTTAAGATTAATTCAGTTGCAATTCAATATAATCACTGTTTTCTGAAGATTTTGGTGTCTGTAATAGACTTTAAAACAAATTCTTTTTATGTATCTAATTTAAGAACATGTTCGAGTTAAGTTCATAAAATATAATATACATAAAATATATAAAATATAATATATAATACATTTAAATTTAAATATAATGTTTATCTTCTATTCCAGATTCAAAACAACTGGATATTGATCACTTTACTGATGATGAAATCAGTTTGAGAGATACACAATTAATATCAATAAATGAATTCAAAAATGACTTGGATGACTTGTCATCAGAACTAATAGAAACTAAGAGTAAATCTGCAATGAATATCAATTTAGTAGATAAATCAAGCAATCCTATAATAATGGATGTGTCACATGAATTAACAATGAGTTCAGAGGATTCATCCAAAGAAGTTGCAGAAATGAAGTGTGAACTTAATGAAAATAAATCTGAACATTCTGAAGTGATGACTAAAATTGACAGAAGTCTTACTCCAAGTCCTAACATGGAATTACCAGCCAACAAATCGAATTCCACTTCACCCTTGAACACAATGCCAAAGTTACGTCTAAATACATTATTAGCATCTGATCCAGCAATGAAACCAGATGCCAGAGATCTTAAATCTCTACATCAAGAAACTCAATCGAATAATCCCTTATCAAATATGCTGGTGCAACCAAAAATTCAACAAGATGACATTACAACAATGCTTGCGGCTGCACAATCTCCAGCTTTAGTGAAATCGGTCTTAAAGTCAACTTCAAGTGTAGAGGTACCGCCTAGAATGAAAGTTTTTATGTGCTTGCCATGTGGTATAGGCTTTAGTTCGCCATCGACGCTAGAAGCTCATCAGGCTTATTATTGTTCACACCGGTATTTAAAAAATACTTCGATAAAATTGTTATAGTAATAGAATTGTTTATTTTTGATTATTTTTTATTAGAAACAAGGAGGTCGATAAAGAAGGCTCTTCATTATCATCTGTTGCTATGGGTGATAAAAATGCATCTTTAGTGGCATCGACCGTGCTTAATAATATGTCCGGCTCTAATGCCGCAGCCAGTGGTGAACCTGCAACCAAATCAATTAAGACTGGGAAGCAATATGTTTGTACGCAATGTTCATACAGCGCGGATAAGAAAGTTTCATTGAATCGTCATATGCGTATGCACCAGACTTCTCCTTCTTCAACACCTAGCTCGAATGCCTCGAATGGTGGCGGATACGATGAAAGTTCTAGTCAAGTGAGTTGTTGGTTGAAAAATTGTTCTACTTTTCTTAACCACAAACTAATACTAATTCTACAATCAACATTTTTTTTGTGACATTATATAGCAAATAGATCGCTATTGTAGCGATTGTGATATTAGATTTAACAATGTCAAAACATATCGTGCACACAAGCAGCACTACTGTAGCTCAAGGCGGACTGAAGGGTATGTTTTTCTATGCCATTATACAAACTGCTAAATATTTATTGGAATATTTTTTGCAATTTTAGGCAATTGACACCAAAACTTGAAGAAATTACAACAAATAACATTAAGAACGCTACTGTAAGCGGCATAATAAGTCCTCAATCTCGCTCTAAGACACCGGTAACGGGAATAGCAGTGCCAGCATCAGGTGCAACTTCAGTGCCAGTTACGCCACATCCATTTTTGGCCCTTCCGACAAATCCAATATTAATTATTCCTTATTCTATAATACGAGCAGCAAGCATTTTTCCAGGTCCACTGTAAGTCAAACATTTCATTTTAAAAATATTTTCATTAATCAATAATCTTTAGGACGACATCTTCCTCAAACTTGGCAAACCATGAAAACACCTGCTTTACATTAGAAAATGGCGCTTTAAAACCCTTAGCATCTGCTTTAAATATTGATGTTGGAAGTACACTAAGCCCACAAAACAGTACGAATATCACAAGTACTGTGAACGAGGGCTCTACGAATAATTCTTCAAGCGAACAAACATTTAATGAATCTCTCTTAATGGAAAAAAATATCGCCGAGGTTGATGCACAAACTAACAGAAAAGATATACGGTAATATAAATAATAATATAACAATAAGGAATATGCAGCTCTAATATTTGTATTTATAATTTTTTAGCGACCAAACACCTCTGGATTTGTCACTACGTCGCTCCCCCATAAATGCGATTTTGCAACGTCATCGTTTTTTGGAATCGGAACAACAACGGTTTGAAATAGAAACTTTGCTAGAGGCTGGTAAAGAAAATTTGTCATTGGACGAAAGCGGTACCCTAACACCGGAACAAATCGTTTGTGCTCCATCGTTACCAAACAGCCCTTCTATGAGTCCATCTCCTAAACGTCGCTTAATTAGCCCTAGAAGTTCCAGTGCAAGCAGTACTTCGTCAGTAACACCCCCTGACAACGCTTCAACTGCTTCATTGGCAGCTATAGCTGCATCCACTATGCTGGAAAATTTACCATTGCGTTCAATATTACCAGCAGATATCGCATTAAAGCTATCCAAATCAAATATAATAAACCCTTTATTAGCTAAGCAAAACCTAGAGCTCGCGCTAAAGTTATCAGCAGCAGCCGCAGCAGCAGTTAATTCATCGTCCGTTGCTGCTATGGCAAGTGGGAACAATTCATCAGTCTTAGGTTTACCTATTTTACAGAACACTGCTGCCGCAAGTGGAGCGACTCAACCCCAAATATACGTTAAGCAAGGAGTTTCAAAATGCAAGGAATGTAACATTGTCTTCTGTAAATATGAAAATTACTTAGCACACAAACAGCATTACTGTTCTGCTCGAAATCATGAGACAAGTGATACTGATGTCAAAGTCTCGAAGACGCCGCCATTAGTAGCTGGAACCGCAACAACAGAAACGACGCCTGTTGCATACCAGCAACTTATTTGCGCCGCTTGCGGTATTAAGTATACTTCACTTGACAATTTGAGAGCTCACCAAAACTATTATTGCCCGAAAGGTAATTTGGCAGCAAGTGCAACAGTCTCATCTACCAGTGGAGTAGCGACTACTGGTAGCGACTCCGAAGAAGTATAAAAATCTAAAAATTTTTTAATATACAATCTTTAACAATACTTCTTTATTCGTGCTTAAGGTGGACACAACAAAAGTGAAATGTACCAAATGTAAAACAATTCATGAAGTTGGGATGCCATGTCCTCTACCATCAAATCTCCAACAACAAAATACCCCACAATCAATACCAGGGCCATCAAATATTACTAATCTCAACCAAAATACTTATAAATGCCTCGTTTGTGATGTTGTCAGTATTACAGCTAACGAAAGCCGTAAACACATGGAAACCCATGGGACTGTAAAAGCTTTTCGTTGCATCATATGTCGATACAAAGGCAACACGCTGCGGTAAGTCTAACTAAAACTTTATGTTATAATTACTCTCCAATATTGTGGTCCATATCTTCAGAATACAGTCAAGTTACTTACTATGGTATGGATACGGTTGACCTGTTTTTAGAGTTGATCCCAAGTTATTAATTTTTTTTATGTTTTTTGTTATGTTTATCGTTTTGTTCTAAAAATAGAATTTCTACCCCTTGCTCGCTGGTTTCATCCTCCTTTTCAATGTCAAAATCTCGTTCTATGTTCTCTTAAAATTGGTGTTACAGATCATCTATTACTTTATATTATAATTATTGGCGTTATTGTTTTCATAGCTTCGGATTATATTCTAGTAAAGTATTGTCGTATTGGAATTAAGTTGATGAATGTACTTTGTCTTTATGATTGTTAAATTTAAATAATTTTTGAAATATATTAAAATAACTAAAATAATTGAATAAACACATTTTCAACATATCTTCAAAATCTGTATACCACACTTTTAAAGCTGACCGCTTGCAAATCATCTACGATTTTAATTTATTGTTATTGTAGCCCGTGGAGATCTGTTTTTAAAATCTCTTTTGAGAAGGTGATGAATGGCTCCCGGACGTTGACACGGTTGTTCTTCAAACACAGTCGTTGTTGTTGTTGTTAAAGCCCACCAGAATCTGAAGACGAATATATGGGTAGTGTTTGGGGTAAGGGAAGAGGGATAATGGGATAATATAATTGAAATCAACCCGTGTCCAGTCACAGAAACCTAGCCACTTCAAGAGGGTCATTGCAAAGGTCAATTGGACTTCCTTTTTGCTTCAGTAGATTCGTCTTCATCTTTACTACTCTTATGCTAATGCAACCATGGACAGCTTGACTTGTTTTATTCTAAAACTGATTTAAAAGATTTTATCCCCTGATTCTTATATCCTTATTGAAATTTTTGCTGTTGTATTACGATGTCTCTTTGAATACTATGTTTTGTTCGTTCAGTGTATTTACGAGCTGTGTATTTTGCTGTTAAATCATGTTTCTTATCTGTGAAGCATTGTTTCTATGATTTTGTTGAAAAGTATATAAATCCTGGATTTAATGTTATGTACTGTGTTTATGTCGCCACTGAATTTTTCTGTTGTCAAAATTTTCTTGAAGTTGTCCCACTTAACAATGTTTTTCTTGTTAGTAAAGAAGCGTCTGTGAGATTATTTAGACCTTAAAAACATAAAATCGACTTAGAGTCGCATCTTCATAAATTTAATCAAATTGAATGTTATAATTAATATTTTTGAAAAGTTAAATTCCATCATAACATTAAAAATAATAATAAAAAAATTTTTTGTTGTTGCAGTTTTACTACACTTCAATGAAAACCTTTTTTTTATGAAAACAATGTTTATATTAAGAATTTAGTTTTTTTCGTCAAAACGGGCGTTAAAAATCAATTCCAGTATAAAGTTATAATAACTGTTAAGAATTATTTTATTAAATAGTCACACCTATTTGTATTCCTAACACCCCAGATTCGGTGGTATATGCTCAAGTTTACAGTGAAACGAGTTTGTACTCTTATTTCTGGATATGCTATGTAATGATGATATTGCAATTAATATATCAAGCGTTTATATTCCAATTGTGAACTCTTGTGAGATTCCAGATATTTTGTTGACTATCTTGACTATTTATTATGTAGATGGTTTAGTTTAGGATATATAGTTCTGTTTTATTAATTTATTTTAAAACAAAGTGTGGCTAAATTTTACAGAGAAATTTTAAGAGTTTTTTACAACTACTAACAATTATTATAATGTAATATTTTCTTCTGTCGTACTACCCGATAAATTGTACTATATACTTTTAAGTCTCTCCTACATTAAAATATACTCTTCATCGGTTTAAATTGTGTTTATATATAATATTTATTCGATCAAAACTTTATAACTAATCTACTTTGTAATATTATTTCAAATATGCTCTATATATTGTATATTTTCGTTAATATCTAATACTTTACTTTGAACCCACAGTGGAATGCGAACACATATCCGTATGCATTTCGATAAGAAAACTACAGACTTTAATGAAGAGAACTATATGTTATGTATAATGGAAGATGAAAATGTCGAAATGACCAGATCAACTCCAATCAATCAAGAACAAATTCTACAGCAACAACAACAATCGTTTAATTGTGAAATTTGCAATTATTCCTCGTCATATAAAGGAAATGTCGTAAGTTTTTATTAAATAAAATTAATAATTTATTAATTTCAATTGACTTAATTCAAGACTAAATAAATAAAAATCACTTTTTTTTAGTTACGTCACATAAGATTGGTACATTCACATGCAAATATTTCAGAATCGCTAGCAGCTTCGCCAGAATTGGGAGATCTAGATATATCTGAAGAGAACTCAGTAAAGAACAGTTTCAATGGTGATAATGGAATTCAAGAGTAATGAATTTAAAATAAAAATAGTTTAATAATATTATATTAATTTCTTTTTTTTTTTTAAATTAGTTTTACAATTAAGACAGAACCTGTTGATCACTCAGCAATAGCACAGGACAATAATTTACAAAAAACTATTTCTGGATCTCAATTATCAGCAGCAACCACATCAATTTTACCGAATACGACAAACACGTGCACAGAATTAATTCAACAAATAAAGTCTGAACCCATGGATGTTACGCTAGAGGACACAAATTCTTTATTAACGAAGCCAACACAATCGTTAAGTCAAATTGCCGGACAGTCAACTCATCTGAATACAAACACAGAAGAAAATCTGGCGAATTCGGCAATGTTGAACAAAAAGTATTGCCAGACTTGCGATATCTCATTCAATTATATGAAAACATTCTTAGCTCACAAACAATTTTACTGCAAAAATAAAATAAGACGGCCCGAAGCTAACCAAAGCCCCAGTCCAACAGCAAATACGTCACCTGCATTTGTAACGACTTCAGCGACAACCACAGTCGCTGTAGCGATGAGATCGCCGGGTTCGCCTATGTTGCAGAAAAACGAGGACAGTTTGCAACAAGAGGGAGCCATTTGATGAAAAAGTGAAGTTTGCTTCTTACGTAAACAATGGAATTGGTACTCTTAGTTTTTTTTTTTTATTATTTCTTATCTTATAATTTGCATTTTTAATTACTTAAACACTTAAATCCAAGAAGTGCTAGGCCATTTTGTTCTGGCTAGAAATAATAATAAATATATATTTAACTGAAATTTTAAAATTGCTTTATTATCGGCCATAAAGCTTCATCAGATATCAAAAAGATATGTAATCTTACGTAAAAAGAATTGATATAAAGTTTTAGTGTTAAAATATAATTCAATAGATTCAGACAGTAGTTAAAGCTTCAGGGCTAGCAGACACACATTATATAAATAGATGAGTGTGCAGTTATGTGCTCGATAACCAAAAAAATGGAAAAAACATACAGTATTTTTTGAAATCTCTAAGTAGAAAAATTAAGCTAATATTAACTATAACTAATTTCACTATGTGATGTGAAAGTTATTTGTCCATGGTCCACTTTATTATAATAAAATAATTGCGCAGGTCGCATAAAATGTGTTAAACAAATGTTATACATAAATCTGTTGCAAAAATTTTGTTCTTTCATATATTCTATGCAAATCATTTTAAATAACTATTAGCAGTTATATTTTCGAATATCTTCGAAAAGCCTTAAGTATTTTCGAGTAACTCAAACATGTTCTCCGAGTAGCTTGAATATCTTTGAGTAGCTCGAATTACATTGAGTAGTGCCAATATATTCGAGTAGTTTAAATATCTTCAAAGAGCTTAAAAATGTTCTTCGAGTAACTCGAATATCTTTCAGTGGCTCGAATATGTTTGAGTAGCTCGAAAATCTTTGACTAGCTTGAATATCTTCGAGTAGCTCGAATATCTTCGAGTAGCTCGAATATCTTTGAGTAGTGCCAATATATTCAAGTAGCTTGAATATCTTCAAGGAGCTCAAAAATGTTTTCCGAGTAGCTCGAATATTTCGAGTAGCTCGAATATCTTTGAGTAGCTCGAATATCTTTGAGTAGTTTGAATATCTTTGAGCAGTTCAAATAACTGCGAGTACTTGAATATCTTCGAGTAGCTTGAATATCTTCGAGTAGCTCGAATATCTTCGTGTAGCTCGAATATCTTCGAGTAGCCAGAATATCTTCGAGTAGCTCGAATATCTTCGAGTAGCTCGAATATCTTCGAGTAGCTCGAATATCTTCGAGTAACTCGAATATCTTTCAGTGGCTCGAATATGTTTGAGTAGCTCGAAAATCTTTGACTAGCTTGAATATCTTCGAGTAGCTTGAATATCTTCAAGGAGCTCAAAAATGTTCTCCGAGTAGCTCGAATATCTTCAAGTTGCTCGAATATCTTTGAGTAGTGCCAATATATTCAAGTAGCTTGAATATCTTCAAGGAGCTCAAAAATGATTTCCGAGTAGCTCGAATATTTCGAGTAGCTCGAATATCTTTGAGTAGCACGAATATCTCTGAGTACTTGAATATCTTCGAGTAGCTTGAATATCTTCGAGTAGCTCGAATATCTTCGTGTAGCTCGAATATCTTCGAGTAGCCAGAATATCTTCGAGTAGCTCGAATATCTTCGAGTAGCTCGAATATCTTCGAGTAGCTCGAATATCTTTGAGTAGCCAGAATATCTTCGAGTAGCTCGAATATCTTTGAGTAGCTCGAATATCTTCGAGTAGCTCGAATATTCTGGAGTGGCAAGAGCAGTTCCGAACATTTCATGTGTTCGATTCAAATGTTCGAATTCATATAGTCCAATGCTTGAACACTTTAACGCACTAATAATAAAATTTCAAACCTAAAACCTATTAATCTTTAACCTTTTGAGATGAAATACAAATATAAATTTTATGAAGCATACATATGTGGCAGCATAACCCAACTAACTACATTGAGCAAGTTTCTTCTCATTATCAGCAATTAGACTTTTAACTACAAAAACATAAAATATATTATATATATATATATATATATAAGATTGTAATAAATACATTTGAGCGCAGGCTTCAAAAAAAATACATAATATTTAATTATTATTTAATTCCTATTGGGCTGAAGCAAACTATTATTTTAAGAGTATTTGCAAATACTTATTTAGCTCTAATATTAAAACGAATTTCTTTGACTTATTTATTTATTAGTTGTTATGACTGTTTCAATATTTTTATATGATATGCCTAAAAATGTAAATAAATATTTAATTAAACAAATGATTTGTAGAAATATAAATAGTATATACAAATAAAATACAATTAAAATATATGCTAAAAAAATGTTTATAAAAAAAAAAAAGAAAACAGACGCATGTAACGCCAAAGTTAATTAATACATAAAATTATTTTTAATTTATATTAAAATCGTATACTATAAATTAAATATTTTTTAAAAATGGCAAATATGTGTTACTTAAAAAAAATATGAATCGGTAGTTTTTAATTGTATTAACTAAAAAAATCTTGTAATAGTTAAACAATTCATTCCGATTTTCTATACAAAACAAACACAAAAAATGAATAAGTGCTAATATTTTCTATTTTAAATAACGATAAAAATTAGAATTAAAACTCCTCATATAGTCTAAATATGGTCTAAATATAGTCTAAATATGGTCTAAATATGGTCTAAATATGGTCTAAATAAAATTAATACACATACCCAAAGGTATGGTTTCCTAAATATTATATTATAATATTAATTGTATATAAAACAATTAAAATTATATAGTGTCCTTTATTTATATATATCAATTTGGTTTTATTTTTTAATTTTGTTTAAAATTTAAAATTTTTAATTGCGCTAATTGGAGGAGGCAGTAGTGAAGAAATGTGTATGGAAAAGCTTTAATCCTTCTTACTGTAATTAAAAAATAAAATAATGAAATGTAATATACAATACGTAATAAATTATTGTATTTAAACAGCGCTTACCTCTTTCATTCAAAAACCTCTTCCCTTAGTTTTATTCCTCTAAATACGAACGAATTCGAAAATCAAATCAAATTCATTTAAAATTTTTTTTTTATGATATTTTATTTTTATTTCTATTTTTAAAAAATAATAAGACACTATTAATATAAATTATTTAAAAAATAAAAACATCATTCAAATAATTTTCTTCCATATGATATGATGTTTGCATTAATTATTCTGTAAAGAAATTATTTTTTTTTACTTGTATATATTATTCTTTCATTATAAGTATTATAAATGACAATAATAATTAATTCCTAGAGTATATATATATCCAAAATGCGTAATATGCATTAAAATAAATTTCTAAAACTAGCATAAAATTTAACTTAAAAAATATTATAACATATTATAAGTCTATATACATAGACGCACACATTTACAAGGACAACAATAAAATATAATTAAAAAGACTATTCATATAAACTAAGTATTTAATTATTTTATATGTAAGGGTAAGTAAGTCGTTCCATAAGGTTGCAGAACGCCATCTATTTAATAAAAATATATGTGATTAAATGCTTCTAGGTAGTTATCGAATAGTGTATTTCCATCAACATTCTGTAATTATATGGGCGTAAGAGTCATCCGCGTAAAGTCAATCCATATTAACTTCACATAAAGAAGTATAGCTTATTAGCCCGTCTATATAACGGAGGTACAAATTTCCTATTTGTAGAAGATGTTTAATATCTTGGTGTAGCGCTTGACTCGATAATTCCGCTGAATGAATATAAAGCTTAAACGTGGTCTGTGGGTTAAAGGACACATCAGTATTGAGCAAAACGAGAAGGCAGATGAACTTGCAAAGCAAGGATCAAGTCACAATTTCTGTGGCCCAGAGCCCAGAATACCATTGAGTTACAACATGATGGCAGCCTATATCTATAAGTGAATAACCTCACTTCATCTTAATAGATGGAGAGAGTGAAGCACTTGTAGACAGATCAATTTCATTTTTTTTTTTTAAACTTAATTTTATTATATTCAATCTATTCTATGCATGAATAATAAATACTACTTATGGCAATAATAATATATGATTGGCATGTACGGGACTACCCAGTGGTAATCATCGCCTTATGAAGAATTACAATTTCTAGAATCTACTCGGCAAATAAAAAGTTGCGAAGCGTATTAATCTACTAATTTAATGTTGCCGAAATCGTGGGCCAGGGAAGCGATAATAGTGCTTAGCTATTTGCGGAACACCCTAAGCTGGCTGACCTCACTAATTACTGGACATGGCAACTTCAAGTATCACCTCAAAAAGATAACTCTTGCTGAGGAATACACTTGCAGACTATGTCTAGAAGAAAAGGAGACAGCGGTGCATATATTGTGCCAATATCCAGCACTGGCAAGTAGGAGGAAGACTGTGTTGGGACACCATTGGGTTTGTGATGAATTGGCAGGAAACCTCAAGCTAAATGAGCTGCTTGCATTTACAAAAAATGTAGTTATGCGAACGGAAACCACACTAGCTTTAACTCAATAACGACATCCGAGAATCGAAAGACGAAAAAGGATCTAAGTCGTTTCGTGGTCTACTTTGACTAATCTTTCAACTCAGTGGGGCCACTTGTTGGACAGTGCGCTGTCCCAACGTCCCACCATATATATATATATAAACGTGGTCTTGACTTTAATAAATTGTAATTTCTTATCGGTAGAAACTCTACAATATCTTAATATAAAACTAACTGATTTTATATTAATATGCCAAAATGGATCTGAATATATGACTTCAACTGTAGGTGTATGCTAATAAGACCAGCATTGCATTAATTAAGCGCTTCCAAAACAAAGTTTTACGACTGATAGTTAATACTATCCTATTATATTATAAATTGTATCAAAAATATATATTCCAAATTATGACCTTCACCATAAACTAGATATTTTAACAGTAATCAATGTAGCAAAAGAATTTGACAAAGAACTTTAAGAACGACTTATATGTTATCTTAGTGTTGAAGTACATGTTTAACAGTGGGAGAAACTTATTATAAGCCGTATGGGAAACTTATTATAGAAACATCATCTGTGTGTTATGTGTGTACAGGGCGTGTCCAACTTAATCGATACAAATGTCAAAAATGGTTCCGTGTTTTAAGAAATAAAAAAAAATGGTTGGGAGAAGGGAAGTCTAGTGTGTTTTCGGTAGTAACCAAGATACAAAGTATCATGAGAACGACTACCTGATATAGTTTTAACTTTAAAATTAATCATAAATTATAAACCAAGTAATAATCTTTCGTATTTAAGTCGTTTTAGTTGAAAACACCCATATATATATCTTGACCTCGTAGATTGTTATTTTAATCTGAAAGTAGCTCCAGTAGCAAAAACGATTTGATGATTGCTGTGAGATTGGGCATAAACTGTGTTGTGTCCCTAGAAGAACTTTTGTCGTACCAGTTTGATTGTATGTTTATTCTATATTTAGTAAGAACAGAAATATAGATCGATGTGCGATGGCCAAAATAAACTACATTATTAGTTCTTCATTACTTGGCGGAAAATAAATTACCGTTGCCTCGCAGTATTCGTTTACCATTCCCTCATTACTTCGTCGCTGATTGCGCTTTTTGACTAAAGAATAATCTAATGAAACCATTTCCAGGAGATGGTACAAATAGAACACAAAAAGTGTTTAATTACATATTGTCCCGCTCGCGTCGAATGATTGAAAATGCTTTTGGTATTTTAACAGCGCGGTGCAGAGTGAAAAGAATAACAATATGGGGTTTCAGTGGTGGAGCTGGACCTACTTTGGACGTCGGGGACATTAGAATTGCGAGGCCCTCTTTATAACCCAGTTGTAAAAGTAAATAAGTTACATTCACTTATATGACAAATTAATTAATCAATTTTAAATTTGAAAAGCTTCTTTCCGTCGAAGCTATACTGACTGGAACTGTGAACATGAATCTGGTTACTATATAAGCATTCGAAAATATTTCGAAAATGGTTAATGCCATTATAAAACCAAATTGTTCAAAATATTTATTAAGTGCTTAGAATCCACAGTCGGTAACTTTTTGCGAGACCCCTATGGGCGCTAGGCCGTCGGCGGTCGCCGACATCGCTGACGCCTAGCGATGCTACTGTGGGGTTTAGTCCAGAAAATGCAGAATTGTATTGGTTTGTTATATATTGGCTGTGATACACAGCGTTGGTACTGCTCGGAAAATTTTACAGACATTGCAATGGCATATAATTCTGTCGTTAGAGAAGAATGATATGATGAATTAATACCTGTTGGAGGACTATAAGCCCCGTAACGTCTTTTGTATGTCATGGCCCAGACATAGTATACAATTTGAGAATGAACCTAGCTAATTATTTTGTTAATAATGGTGCAATTCTTTTTCAAAATCATATTAACTGAAAGAAAATGCATTTGAATGGAATTAATTTAATTTTTTTATTAAATTTTTTTTTTGTAATTAATAATGCTAAGTATATATAAAAATATTAAATAAAACATTTACAAAATAATTTATATCCAAACCTTATCTAATTATATATTGTATTAATTATAAATATTAATTTCCATTACCCCTCTATATTTGTGCAGCTACGAATATATCAGTACATTGCTTTATGACTCTGGCTTCTTATCGTCAAATTTTGATACAGTTGAGATCGCCATTTGACCAGAGCCTTGAACTGTTTCAGTATATTGTGGGTCTTGTAATCTGCCTTCACGATACTGTCAAAAGTTGTCGTTACTTTCAATATAGCTCTGTCAATTACATCGCGATAAACAACCTTTTTTTATAACTTGTGAGGGGAAAAGAGAGTTGTGAAGTTAGAGAGAAACGTGGACAGGTGAAGTTGCTTCGTCAGATGAAGTCAGTAATGGAGTATATTGTTATGCCAATGTTGGTAATCCTAAACAACCTTCGCGATAAACAACCCTTTTTTGTAGCTGCTTCTGGAGGGAAAAGAGAGTTGTAAAGTTGCAGAGAAACGTCGACAGGTGAAGTTGCTCCGTCAGATGAAGTCAGCAATGGAGTATATTGTTATGCCAATGGTGGTAATACTGGTATCACACTCGGAAGCCCTAAGCAGTTCGAACTTTCTCCGATTCTGTAAAGAAGAAAATTTATTGAAAGAAGTACATACCTAAAAGAAGTCTAAAATTAAATGATATGTTATAAAACGAAATAAAAATAAATGTTATTTACAATTGAACTCAGTCTAGACCCATTAAAATACTTATATTTTAAAATATTTTTCATTTTAAAAAATAATTAACTAAATATTTTTCACTTACTGGTGTGGAAGTACATGCTTCCTCAAAACCTTTAAGTGCTTGTAAAAGTGCGATTCCTTCGATATGCTAGCACTACTTCCAGACGGGATTCTTTACCGAAACGCATTCTTAAAACTTTTCACCGCTTCTTTACTGCAATCTTTGTATTAAAAAACAAAGATGTGTAAAATTGTTGAATTCCATAAATATAGCGTGATACTTACCATCAACTTCCAATTCTTGAGCTATTTCCTTTTAAGTTTTATTTCTTTTTTCCATTATTTTTGTAGTCATTATGACTTTTGTCATATAATATCGGATTTTTTAACAATAACACAACGGTTAACAATAACTTTAAATTAATATAAAAGAATTATAGCGACACACCCATCCTCAACAAGATTTCGTAAGCAACTAAGTACAATTATTAAATTTGCTTAAGGCTTAGTTAGACGGTAGGTAACGTAAGAAATTAATTCAAAGCGAAATACACAACCAACTAAACCTGTGTATTTGAATTAATTTCTAACGTTACCTACCGTGTAACTGAGCCTTAAGGGTTACATTGGACATTTTTCGATTTAAATCACTTAAAAGCTCAGTTAGTCGGCACGTACCGTAAGAACTTAAGCGAACTTAAGCCAAAGTGAAATGCACAACCGATCATACCTCTGTACTTCGCTTTGACTTAAGTTCTTCCGGTAAGCACCGACTGAGCATTTATTTATGTGAAAGCTCTTTGTATGGTAAATTTGTTTCATTAGCGGCCTTAAAGAGCAAAACTGTCTAAATGAGACAATGGAAACATATTATTTGATTATTTAAAATTAAGAAGCAAGAGTAAGAGATGACAGCTCTTACACTGAAAACAACAAAAAATGTGTTGATCGACACACACTCATTTGATCGTCTGCATGACATGGTCCGAAAAGAAGAAACTGTTCTTGTTCTTGAGGTTGCCGCCATAGGAAATTCGCAATGAATGGTAACTCTGCCAATTTTTTTTTGTAGTATTCGCACAAAATGGATGACGTTAGTGTATGATTTCATTTATTTTATTAATTTAATTAAATCAATTGCTTTAATAAATAATTTTTTTTTCCTTTTTTTCGTCATGGTTTTTGTTTTATTTATTTATGTTTTAACAGAACAGCTGATTTATGCCATTAAAACTAAAGCAAAGTAATTTTGCTTTTTAAGATTTTAATAAATTTGAGTTGCAAAAATTTTGTACGTTTCGTAAGGATTTTTTTATACATACATACATATTTATTTTAAGTCAATTTTCTGGAACCCATATTGAAAACATAAGAGCTAATACAGCAACTTATTTAGTCCTACCCCCTCCCATATACTTACTTACATATAAATTTAGCATAAAAGCAATAATGCAACGCAAAACACAACACACCTTGAATGCTCTTAATACATATGTATATATGTATGTAAGCATATATGTGTATGTGTGTTTCTATGTGTGTAAATTATAGTTTAGGATTTTGTTGGTACTAAAAATGCATTGCATTGCATGAAAGGAAAAATAATACCTTGCGTACATCGGTACATCTATGTGCTTACCTTTGCGTTCATCAATACCGCAGACAAAACGACGTTGTGCCTTACCGCAGGAGTCTGCGCAGTGAAAAACCTTTTTATGCATGTGAAAAACTTTCTTTTTGTGTCTGCTTCCATACCAGGAAGCGAACCTACGTTCGTTCAAACGTAGATATATTTTAATGATAAATATACTGAAAAATTGGGATCTGAAGCATTGTAATATTAGAAGAGTTATACGTCTAATAGAACTTTCTCTGAATTTCCCAGAAGTCGAAGAAATTTTGTGTCTGTTTTTTAATAATTTATGTTGCAATATTTGTTTATATTTTAATAAAGTCTTAGTAATTACTAAAAAGTTATAATGTTACAACTATGAAGACGTAATACCCCAAAGAAAATCAAGAAATCATATCCAATCACATTTGTATTATTATAAAAAATAAATTTACAGCGGAAGGATTTGATAATAACAATTTTCGTCAATGTAGCTAATCTATTCAAGCATCCATTGATTTGGAATCTATTTGTTTTGTTGCTATGCACTCACGTCCGTCCCTATGTTCATTGCATATATGCACAAGACAGTCAGTAATTATTTTAGCATGGCAACCACTATAAGAGGAAGGAGAGAAGAAGTACTAAGTAAATTTTGTTGCTAAGCTCTTTGTTTTTGGATTAGACTTGTTTACTTATGGCATGATGACTCATGTTTCTGTGTCCAGTTTTTAAGAACTTTATGGATACAAATTAGATCTACTTAATTCAAGATCTTCGATCCACACTAAAGTCACTACTATATCGCTGCTAACTTTATAATACTTTTGATATAAAAATAAAGTAATTTAATATTCAAAAACAAAAAAAAAAGACTCAAATTATTGATAATGTTATAATTAATTGTATTTTTATCTTTGTTTATAATCATCGAAATATGAAAATTAAATTGTAGTGTAATATTGAGAAATAATGAAGTTTATTCTGTTGAGGCCATAGCGCGCGCTTGTGCTCGAACTCGTTTCTCGTATTCCAAACGGTTTTGGCAGTATATAGTGTAGGCTTCTGCCTGTGCCGGATCCTTAATATTAGGCTCATTAAGTAGATCTTGTATCCCAAGAAGAATTTGTTTGATTGTTATTGCTGGACGCCAGTCTTTTTCCTCATCCAATAACGACAAGCAAACCGTTCCGGAAGGATATACGTTAGGGTGGAATAATGGTGGCTCAAATTTGCACTTGGGTGGTGATGTTGGATAATCATCCTTAAATATCATACGCAACTTATAAAATCCACCTTCCCAAGGAGTAGCCTTCTTTCCAGGTATAGCACACTCCCATATCATTAAATTAAGTGTGCCGTCAGGATTCTTGGCTGGTCTGAAAATAAAAGCAGACATTTACATTTTCATGATCAAAATTTGTAGGTGAAAAATGTGGAATTTTTGATTTTTAGATTTTACAATATTTACATACCGACAAGCAACAAAGTCGCTGCATATGTGCAACTTTCCGATAAGACACTTTATCCACTCATATGCAACGAATGTATGCTTGCGTGTTGAATATGTAGCAACATGTTCAATACAGGTGGGACAGCACAAATGCTGCATGTGAAATTTAGCCAAGAAATATTCATTTATTCACAATATTATGCGTAGCAAATTTTAAATCTGTTAGATTTTCAACGCAACAAAAAACAAAGCAACAAAAACTCAACAAATTTCTTACCGTGCAACGAAGCCAAAGGGATGATCCTTACGCCAAGCCTTTCTTTCCTCTCCCAACCGAGTAATTGCAATTCCAGACATTGTTCTTCTTTTAATTCAATTTATACTGAATTATCAATGGTCCACAATAAATAATTAAAATCGAAAAGTTTTATTAATCTACGCGCAGACTTTTACCTGCTACTCAATTAAAACAACAGCCGACAATTGAAGACCGATTTAACTACAAACAAAACTCTGCGTGCAATACTTGTATAAAATCAAATTAGGCTATGTGCACACCATCATACATCATACTTTTGACAAGCATGTAACTATTCCGCTCTGTTTGAATATATATTGTGAATGTATTTATGTTGTGAATTTGTATATTATGTATGCTGGCATTTATATATTAATTTAAATTTTTATAAATAATGGATAAACTCTTACTATTTATTTATTTATTGATGAAAAAATATCGTTAATGTTTTTGTATAGATGGATTAATTTAGGTTGTATATTAGTATTCATATTTTATGTTAAATTTTTCTAATGAATAGGTAAACTTTTAGGTCGTGTGCGAGTTCGAGTAAATTGAGGTAAAGTAATTTCCTAGGGATTTTTTGCACTGCACTTATATAAATATTTATTTATTTATTTATTTATTGTACTTATTTATTATTTTGGGTTAAAGTTTTCAAATTTATTTATTAAACATCTTATAAAATTTTCACAATGTCAATACCTGATTTATCAAAGTTTCATCTAATTTACCTTACTCGAAATTATGGTAAATACCAACATTTACTGCCATACCGACATAAGTTACTATTTCCCTCAATTTACCATCAATTTACTCGAACTCTCATACGTCGTTAATGTATAAACTCTTAATATTTAAATGTATTAAATGAAAAAAAATCGTTCTATGTTAGCATTTATATTCTAAATCAATTTTTGTATTATTAGGTAAAGTCTAAAATTCGCATAGACAATCTTAAAAGAATATTGTTTTAAATCCGGTTATCACTAGTTATATTAATTTTATTTATGCAAATCTTAAAAGTCATTTTAAAATAAGTAAATCGATTCTAAATTCACGTGAACAATCTTTGTCGTTTGTCGCTAGTTTTATTCTAAAAAGTTTGCTTTAAATTTTGTGTAAGCTCATTGAAATTATTTTTAAGGCTTAAAGCGCGGTAAAGACTATTATTTTTAAGTGTCATTCAAGAGAGAAAATGGATGAACGACACTCAAAAATGATAGTCTGTACTTTTTTGTGACACACAACCAACATGTTGGCGTGCTCACTAAAATTTTGGTGAGCACATCATACAACTTTTCGTCAATATATTGTGAATGATAGTCTGTCGCCCAAAAACTCCCATTCATCATTCAAGAGCATATTTTTGTATGGTTGCACTAAGACACTTATAGCGTGCACAAACACACTTATTCTTCAAATATGTTGCTTGAATGATAACTGGTGAATGTGAGCATGTTCAAGTTTATTCCCCATAGGATTAAATTCAAATATTGATAAAATTCCATTTTATAGTTTTCGTTCTTTAATGAAATTTTTATTTGTAATATAATTAAATATCATATGTTCTTTACTCTGTTTTTATATTTTTTTTTATCTTTACTAAAAACGCACATTACGCATTTTGGTACATAGTTATTATAGACTTCTATAAGTAATAAAATAATTATGAAATGATATAGAAATTGTTGTTACCACTTTATATTCGATATCGTTTTTTATACAATTTTAATTTATGTCTTGATAAATTCAAAATTTTACAGTAACATTTAAAATTACCTAAAAAACTGGTTTGATACAAATTTGAATATAATGGCTTACATACTTTTTTAATCGTTGTTTTTGTATCAGTTCTATAAATTTTAAAAATATCTTATACCTATTAAGAGTTTTAAATAAAAAAGTATATACAAAAACAAAAATATATATATATAACATTAGCAACGAAGTTATTTCATCAAACACAAGTGTCGATAATATACAGAGCAACTATTTTTTTAATTTTTATTTAAAGCCATGCCGTATTTTAATTGTAATTTGTTTTTTTTAAAGAAATAAAATATTTTTATTTTTACAATTAACATTACAAAATTTTTATATGGAAAGTATGGAAACAGACTTATGTGATTGCTACATGACATGTTTGACATAATTCATAGGCAGCAAGCTGTTCAGTAAAATGAATGCGTGTAAGTGCATAATAGTTTTCTCATAGGCAATTGTGTATGTTGCTTTGAATGCGAGAAGCGAGATATGCGGACTGCATATACATGGATTATTATTGTGCTGGCCACCCTTATTTTTAACTCAAAACAGCTGATTGCTATGTTGCGTTTTGCATATTGTTTTTGTGATAAAATTTTTAATGATTAAGTGCATATTAAAAATGAATTTAATATACAATGAAATTGCTGTATAAAATAACAAATAGATATGAAAAAAAATATTAAATAGATATTTTAAGTTAAGTTTATTGTAGTGATCAACGTTCTACGCCTTCGCCCAACCCAAAAGTGAGCAAAATCAATGTAGAAAATTTCTACTAGAAATCGGTGTATTTATCGCTTAATTATTATTTCGTTCATGATAATTTATTTCTTTCAAATAGCAGTTGATATGCATTCAATTCATAATAATTAATTTATAAACATTTTCAGTTAAAATGCGGATTACTATTATGTGAAACACTTAAAAGTGCAATAATTAAAAAAAAAACAGTCTTTTTTAATACTGACCGCGAAGGTTGGTGGAAAATAGTTTTAATTTCATTACGACTGATATAATAAGTTAAAATAAGAAATGGAAGACGGTGATAGCAATTTTGGCTTTCCAGAAGCTGGAACATGGAACTCCACAAAGCATATACCGCTCGAAAATATGAAAATTGACGCGCCTATGGTAAGTGGTTCCCCTTCTCAATCAAACAATTTATTAAAGTTTATATAGTGAAATTTATTTAATATTTAATAATAATGTATACGATAATATGTATTTATTAAAAATAAAAGACATGCATATATAATATATATATTATTAATTTACTCGTACCTTTTCAACCACTTCCTCACATAATTTTCATTATTAATTATTATTTTAGTATTTTTATTTTATTTTTAAATCCAAAGGGTACATTGGCCACTTATATGGGCCTTAATAAGAGATAAGTAATTTCATAAAGAACGCACAAATACTGCTTTTTCAGTGTATATAGAAAATAAAGGAGAAAAAAACAGAAGATCAATTGTGCGATGTTTGCAAGAGAAACAATAATGAAAGATAACCAATACTAGAAAAATAGATGATAATACTGATAGTATATATAATATTTTATTCATTTGCTAATCAAATTTAAGGAACTGTTTGCAAATTGATATAGTATAGCGCAGCTACTCAAGGAGCGTTGATATATGCCGATCTTCATTCATTCATTATTATTGAGTCAATAAACTATAGCAGCATGTATTGGGAATAAATATATCAATATATCACCAACCATTTCTATTCATTATTATTGAGTCAATAAACTATAGTAGCATGTATTGGGAATAAATATATCAATATATTACCTACCATTTCTATTCATTATTATTGAGTCAATAAACAAGTAGTAGCATGTATTGGGAATAAATAGATCAATATATCATCTACCATTTCTATTCATTATTATTGAGTCAATAAACAAGTAGTAGCATGTATTGGGAATAAATATATCAATATATCACCTACCATTTCTATTCATTATTATTGAGTCAATAAACAAGTAGTAGCATGTATTGGTAATAAATATATCAATATATCACCTACCATTTCTATTTATTATTATTGAGTCAATAATGTATTGGGAATAAATATATCAATATATCTCCTACCATTTCTATTCATTATTATTGAGTCAATAATATATTGGGAATAAATATATCAAATTACAATCATTTTTATAATTTTTTTTATCCGGCTATAGGTCTATTCTATTGTCAATATTGCAGTATAGTCAATAGAATAAAGAGGATGACGTAGATATAGTTTTATTAACATTAATTTATGTTAGATCGTGATCCTGATGATGAGAGTCTTTCGACTATATAGAATATATTAAAAAATATTAAACAAACGTGAAATTATTTAACAAAAAGTGACCTATAGCTGGATAAAAATATATATAAAAACTATTATAAAAAAACAGGTCGATAAATAAATTAAAAATTTTATATCAAATTACATTTGGCGTAGACGTATTTGGGTTTCTACTTTCCATATAATACTTTTCTTATAATGAAATTGAGATTGTTTATGAATTCCACTAGTCCTGGGAATTCCTTCCTTGCGAAACAGTTCAACAGTTGTTGTTGTTAAGACCCGTTAGGATCTGCTTTTAAAATCTCTATTGAACGGCACTTGGTTGTTGTAGTTGAGTAGTGCTTCTGAGATGTAGAGACCACCGTTCTTGGAACCTAGCATTTTATAATCGATATTGATTAGTGCCTTCATGATTAGAACGCAGGTGCCAGGTGCAATCGTTATATGATTGCCTTCTTCAGTATGGATTAAAATATTTTTTGATTAAAATTTGTAAATATTTTTTATACTATATGGTCTACTCGTATGAATAATCATTAATTCGAATTTATTTTTTTAATCATAATAAATACTTAAACGTGCCAAACCTTATCAGTCAGGAATTTGTTATTACTCATAGCTGATTTTAATCTCTACATTACGAGTATAATTTAAATAATGAAACTCGAATGAGAGCAGAATGGTTTCGATGTCTCATATTAAAATTGTTATTAAAATCACATAATTTAGGAATCTATAGATGTAATGTTAGTTATGTACTCTAAAAACATAATAAACATTAAAAAACTAATCATTTATTTATTATTTTTTTTATATTTTTTTTTTCTATAGTTTATTTCTAATTAATTGAGTACGGTAGCTATATTTGTTATCTGATCCAGACTTATAATATAAATAAATAATTATAACTGCGTTTTGTGTTTATCGTTTCTCCCAATGTAATACTATCCATCGTTAGAACGTCTCAACAAAAGATATAGCATTGTTATACGTATTTTTTTTTTTATGACGAATGCATCGTATTTCATTCGTGTAGGTCAGGTACACTATATGTAGTGCGCCTGAACTGCATTCAGCGCGTAAGCAATGTTGATAAAGTGTCATTTCGGAATGGAGATTTGCTGCGGATTAATTAATAATGCGATAGTAAATTTTAAGTGCTAAAAAAAATGTGATAGAAAAAAACAACTATAATATTAAATAATCTTATCAAAACTATAAAAAATCGACATATACTCATCGAAGACATGAGTGCTACAGAAACTAGTGAAACAGGATTTTTTAAAAATCTGGAGATTTACAGATCTCAAACTTTTTTTTCTGTGCACCATGCATCGTTGCTTGTGTGGATCTTTGATAATCCAGAGCAGGTACGATCCAACTAAATAGCAATATTTTTGAAAGAATATATATCATTATTTTTTGTGTAATATAAGATCAAAAAACTTGCAGCACTTTATGTGAACTATGCAGTACTCAAGGAGTTCAGTTGATAATGTTTGACAAAAAATTTATGTTTGGAATAAAAATTAAATATAATAAAAGTTGAGTGTTGTTAAAAAATTTACAGAGTACAGGAATTTATTAGTCTTGTTTTTGCTAAGTTTTTAATTCATAGTTTATTAATTGATTAAAGTTTTATTTCATTCGACCAACAATGAAAACAGTGTGGTTACTCAGTGAAAATGGTTTTATGATTTTTGGATCAAAACAATTTCACATCCGATTGAACCAATTTCCGAAATAGTGTTGCCACTCTGAAGTTGGTATCTTCAAAACCAGGGTTTTGATTATCTCAATCCTGTATTGTTGTATTGTTTTAGTTAATTATAAATATTTAATATATATAATTTGCATTTAAATAAATACAGAAAGAACTATTAAATAAAAGAGAAATTTGCAAAATGCATCGCAAAAGTTCCATCTAAGCTGAGAGCTTATCTCAGTACAGGGTTAAACTTATAAACGAAATATATGTATATATGTTAGGAGAATGCGATACTTTAGAAAATAATTAGAGATAAGAACTATGTTTTCTTATACAACAGAAAAGTGCATAAAAACAAATCACGGAACTTAACTAGATTTTATTAAATAAGCAAGGTTTATCATGGTACTGTGAGCGATAACTATAACTTAGAAAAGTGGTACAATACTCATTATACCATAAATAAAGAAAGTAGTATATTGTTGAAATCACATTAATATCTACTTTCATCTATATTTTCAGCTTCAATTAAGTTAAATCTTAATACAGTGTTCAGACTGAGCGAATATCTTCATTAAGAGATATATTGAATTAAAATATTTGGCAACCGTTTACACTGCTTTAAATGAAGCATTTTGTCTTAATGAGCTTCTGAGTTAATGTTTCTTAAATTTATCTATTTTATTTCCATATTTATTATTGAGTGGCTCCGCCACGTAGACCAGGTCGTTCTTGAATATTTGTAGTATTGCGTTTTATTAATTTAATTCATTTCTCTTATCTTATCTCGAGTTTCACTGTCAATTATATCTATATATATTATATTATATCTTCATATACACAACGTATTTCATTTATGTAGGTCAGAAACACTATTTGTAGTCTTACTAAATTTCTTTAATCATTGATTTTAATGACGATAAAGATTTATTTTGAAAAGAAAAATATTTATTTCAAGTTAATAACGACTTAGTGAACATCTTTGCTAAATGAAGCTGAGTTGCATGTGAACAGGACATAAGTGTAAATTACTTTTGGTTAACTTACCATTATTATAAATGATTTGTATCGATATCACGGTTATATGGAATGACTACTGTATCTTGCAGGTTTAGTGGTCTTTCTTATTAATTTACATTTTTACTGAATAATGTAAGGACTTATTTTATATGAAAACTTTTTGTTTATATTTTTTTTTTTAATTTTATAAAATGGAGTTGGCTGTTTATGGTAGATTGGCAATAGTCGCTGCTGGTTTTAGTTTTACGAACATTTTATTGAGAAAGTAAGATTATTGTATTAAAAAAATTGATGTGATGCGTCAAACAAAACACGGTTGGAACAAATTCTTTCAGTACCTGTACATACCATGCGTACGGATATGTTTTTTTTTTTGCAAGACCCGACCTGAAACCCTTTTTTGTACTATTTATCGCATCACATGGTTGAAAATTTAACTTCAACATAAGTATTTAACACATAAGCATAAGTGCGTTATTCTACCTCCGTATTGTTTATGTATTAACCACAATCACCACGAAACTCCTTGAAAAAGATAACCCAAATATCCAGGAAAAATATCCCTAAAAACTTGGAGTTTCGCAAGTAATAACTATTTACTAGCGGTAATACTTCCGCTATAAATTAATATGAGATCTAAGTCGTTTCTTGCGGTAGGCGTATCTAATTCCGGGAATATTTTAACATTTATTTCGAAGGGCGACAATAGAAGCGATAAGCGATATTGAGTCAGCAAATGCAGGTCCCTCCGGAACGTAGGCTCAGCTGTCCCTTTAGTCTGGTGGTGTTGCTTCAGTTTAACAAATATTTGAGTCATAAAATTCAATTATTATGATGTGATGTTTTGTGGTGATTGTTTTCTAGATATAATCTTCATTCACACTGTTAGGGAATAGTATTTTAAACTATTGGGTAAGGTGGTTAATAAAGCTTTAAGTTCATTTGTTTAATTATTTTTTTTTAATTATGAATGTTATGAATACTGATAAATTTAATTGATAATATGATAAAGTAGTTCCTGACCCAATGACCTCCTCCTAGTCCAGATCAAGGCTGAACAGTCGCAGAGCATGTGACTGGAAGTCTCTTCTGTTTCTTAGCAGAATACACAATCTATCTCTTCTGACAGACCCATTTTGTTAAGGCGATAACGTAGTTTGTGATGACCCCTCAAATATTCCGCCAGTAGCCTCAACTCTGTTCTGCTGAGAAAGGACACCTTAACGTAACTGTAGGCACGAACCAGCTCTTTAGCCTGAGAGTTGCCTGAAATGTCGCGCCAGCAGCGACTTCTTTCAGTTAAAAAACATTTTTCAATTAGAGACCTAGTTGTAGACCAACTTAATCCACAATATGGCTCCGGTCCATAGATTTGAATGGCAGATCCTGTCCTGGCAAGATTTTCCGCAGACTCATTACCATTGCTTCCAGTGTGACCAGGCACCCAGCAAAGCATCACTTTATTTTTGCTTGCCAGCTGCTGCAGCGTGTCATAATAGTCTAACAGAAGCTTTGAAGAAAACTTCCAGGAGTATAATGCTTTGAATGCTGCTTGACTATCTGAGTAAATACAAATACGGGCACCTTTCAACCCATTACTAATGTTGATTCGACCGCAAACCTCGAAGGCGTGAAGCTCTGTTTCGAAGACAGTGAGTCATATACCCATCGTGATATGATGGTCGATTTTTTAACAATTATTTATTTTTTTATAATTCTAATGATATAAATCGATCTATTTATCTAAATCAATAGAAACTAGTTCTTTAGTTTAGACCGAGCACTCTTACACATCTTCAAAACCAAAAGTTATAGAAACTAGTTCTTTAGTTTAGACCGAGCACTCTTACACATCTTCAAAACCAAAAGTTATACACTCTTGCGAATAAAACATCATCCTAATTGTTTAGTTAAATAGTATGAACACCGCAATCTATGTGAGCTGTTTGATAAAAAATTTCTTTTAAAGTTAAACATTAATATAGTATATTTTATAAAAACAAGAAGAGGTGGGGTGTTGCAATTTCAGCTAAAGAACTAAGCCAACATTATACCGAGTCTTAGTTTAGCCATGACAGCTTAGTTCTAGATAAAACTCGCAAACCAATATAAATACTCGTAGCCGAGATAGTTGGAAAATCGAACACATCAATCATACAGCAAAAATATATGGTTGAAAAAAATTGTATGATTTTTAGTGGGTGGAACTCTCTGTCACTGTAAAGATGTAATAGAATTATATAGTATAGATTAATTATCTTATAAACAGATAAGACTGTAGTCATAGTCCGTTTTTATATACCAATGAGTTGTTTTTGTTTGCCTGACCACAGTTATTTATGTATATCAAAGTCGTTGTTCTTATCTTCTTTATCAGACATTTTTATTTCTATTCTTAAGTTAGATGGGAGGTTCTTTAACAATTACTTCTTGTGTGATTTTGAACCATTCATAAAAAATATTTAGTAGTGAGTTTCTTAAGATGAGAGCTATTTTCATATTAAATTTTAAAACAATAAAATTATATGCCACCTTAAATTTTTGCTAAGTTATTCAAAAATCGTTTAGGTCTGTAATTTATAAGCTGATATATATATTTTTTTTTCTTAAAATTATATATGACCAATACATATTAGGATTTGAAGTCCATAAATCAAAGAGATGATTTTTAAACACATAGTCAAAATCTCTTAAAAAAAATTTACCAGTTTCCTTCACTTAATATATGGGTGTCACTGGTGACTTTGACTTTGACACTGATAAATTTGCCGACATATAACTAATTTTATATTTAATAACACTTTTTTTTTGTAATTCTTCTATATAATAAAAACTTGCTAGCCTAAGATAATCACTAACTTGCTTAAATGTTTATTGGTTAAAGACTTATTTCGTATACCAGCCAGACTTATAGACAGACTGACGATAGTTATTTACATATTATTCATCGTCGTATTAAGCAAGGTACAAATGTCAGTAGGATGTTCTTCTTGACCACATAATACATAGGTTTTTAAGCAGTCAACATCGCTGTTTTGTTTTTTTACAAGAGTAGTCGAAAAGGAAATTATAGTACCTGTAGTATCTGTATAGTATCTGTTACTATAGCAACCACTGTAGCTTAAATAGCAATAGTTCAAACGTCTTCGTGTTTCAATCTTTCTACTGACTATCCAATTACCCTTTTTTATATAGTCTTGTGAATTGCTTGATATGTAGCCATTTGAATCAACTTCCGACTTCTTGGTGTTTCAGTACTTCTACTGATAACCCAACAACCTTGTTAGGTTATAAATCATTTGATGTCTAGCTACTTGTATCAACTTCAAACCTCTTTGTTTTTCAGTTCTGCTGCTGATAACCCAACAACCATGTTTTGTACAGCGTTTTGGAAAGCTTGATATATAGCCAATTTAATCAAGTTCAGACCCCTTCGTGTTTCAGTCCTGCTACTGACAACCTAACAACCATGTTTTGTACAGCCTTCTGAAAAGCTATAGCCATTAGAATGAAGTTTAGACCTCTTCATGTTCCAGTTTTGCTACTGTCTATTCAACTACCATGTATTATATAGCCCTTTGATTCTCTAGATATATAGCTACTTGAATCATTTGTAAAGTTTTTTCATATTAGTCAATTATTTAGACATCTGTTTTCTTATGTCCCATTTCATTTCTGCATTCAATATAATTATGTTCTTCTGTACTTAAAGTGTCTTCTGTTTATATTATCTATGCAATTATTACTAATAATTTCTGCAAAAAAAATAAACAATTAATCATTTTTTAAGCCTCTAAAATATTTCTTTGATCATTTTTGTCGAAAGAGTCATGAAGGCTGGATCTGATACATCAATTGTTAGTTTAAATAATTTTTACATTAATTAAAATTACAATATGTGGACTACAAAACACTCAGTGATACATTTCTTAAAAGATGTCAAACTGTTTATAATTCTATGATCTCCAGTGATTACAATAAAATATTTTAAAAAAAATTCTTGTGGTTTTTTTAGATATGGCTTTTGTGCTCCTTACTGACATCAATTACGTGGGTTACATACATCACTTTCTATAATTCTCGTCTTATCGGTATGATAATTACAAAAATCGCAAATCGATGGTTTATCAAAGGAGCATATTTTAAAATCGGTAGGTTGATTATATATAAGTTTTAATAAAATATAAGTTTTCAGACTGTACAATAGTTAAACATTTTTAATTTGTTTTACAGGATCAGTAGCTTTAAATCCTTTAGCTGGAAAAATAATGTTTCGCGATTTTGCGTATATCACTTTTGATTATTCCGCACGTATACAAGATGGTTATTTCATATTTCGTTGGTGGCGATCTTATGTTCCAAAAGATGTCTCCGAAGGTTTGTTCTAGTAATTTCGATAACTAAAGCTTAAAATTATAGTTTTAATTTAAAATAGATCTTTCTCATTCTGATACCCGGTTGTCTGTTCAATTGAATGGGTTTGAGCTTCATATATATAATCGTTCCGATTTATATGATCAATTAGAAAGGACATTTGGACTTAAACCATCTTTACTAATACCGGTTAGTATTATACATTTGATTATTTTTCTCTCTCTAATATTCATGATTGTTTTAGACTGATAGCCTTTCTTCAGAGGAACGAAATAAGTTGAGAGAGCACACAATGAATTTGGAGAACACACGTAAAAGTAAACGTGATAGTGTTAAACATTCCGAAGCAATGAAAGCGACAACTTGGCGTGATCTCATACCGGTGATAAAAATTGATATTTGCTCTGGACGATTTGTTTTTGGAAATCGATTAACTCCAACTACTCTTTCCATTTCTATGGAAGAAATGCGTTGCACATATAGTACAAAACCGGCAGTATGCCGCCTTGATCATTTTATGCACTTTATCAAAGCGAATGTAGAGAATGCAAAAGTAATGTTTGCGCCAAGTCCAAAGTATACAGGACTTGTTGATGAACCACCTCGTTACATGGGCGAAGGATTTGTTGTGATGATGTCCAATCAGATGGAATTGTATTATTATATGGATGAACCTGGCGTGGTACCTGATGAGCCCGTGCATATTATTTTAGCTAATGGTGACATAGTTGAACCATCACCACCAGTATTGGGTTTAAATATAAAATGTCTAAAAGGCACTGATTTTAGTTATGGCCCTTGGGCAGATAGGCAAAGAGATCATTTATTTAAATTTTTTTATCCACCGGATTGGATGGAAATGAAAGTAACTCCAACCCCAAAACCTGGTGAATTAAGAAGTTATCAGTCTTTTGATGTTACATTATGTGTTTTAAATGAAGCTACCATTGATATTCTCTTTTCTAAGGATAAGGAAACGAACGCTATGCATATCACAGTTGGTCCAGCGTCTTATGTTGAAGTAACTATACCATGGGTAACACTAGTCGATGGCTACACATCAAAAATACAAGGTCAATTATTTCATGTTGAAGCAACAACTTCACTTCAATATCGGAGTTTAGCTGAATTTGAATCACTTGAGTACAAAGTACGTGTTTACTATCCAACAAAATGGAATGCTCCACAGGACTGGAGCATAGCTTTAACTGGTTGTAAAGCAACTGCTTTTATTGTCTACAAGCATAAGTGTTTCTTTCAGGATCTCATTGAGGATTGGGCAAGCAAGGCTCGTCCAGATATTTTATCTTTTGTTCCTTATACTTGTAAATTCAATATTCTTTTAAATGAATTCGAAATTTTAACCTTGTGTAACGAATATAACTGGATTGATTGCTCAAGTGCCAACCAAGAAAACAATCACTTAGCATTTTGCGGTGATGTTTTTGATATGAGTTTTTGTCTACCATTTGATGACTTTTTGCCAAAGACTGTGACACTTAAATTTTGGATACATGGAGAAGGATTGGATCTTAGCTTATTTATACCTGAAGTCTCATCAACACAACCGATAGTATTAGCGATTGATGAAAATGCAAAACTACTAACGCGTGGCGGAAAAATAAAAAGTCGTCCAGAATTGTACACAAAAAAATGGCGAAAAATATGTCAGAGAAGGTAAATTGTATTAATTCACTTATAATCTCAAAAAAGTGTCACTAACTAATTTTATATATATTAACAGTTCTGGTTGGATTGATTGCTGGACAGTTCCAATTGTAGCACTTTCTATTCAGTACATATATCATCCTGTGCCTCCTTTGGGACCAGATCCTCAAGCCGACATAACTACGCCAGAAAAAGAAGAAATTCTATTGAGTCCTATGCGCATACCTAAAACTCGTAAATCACCTGTTAACAACTGGAAAAAGCCAGAGCATTATAAATTTGACCCAGGAACCCTAGCAGCTGATCAAGTAACAGTGGAGCTTGAAATTGGCTCATCGGTGTTAATGTGTTATGGCAATGTGTTGCGCAATTTTATTAATTTAAAAGAAAATATTTTTGGTGAAGATCAAAACTTCACAGATATGGAACAGTCGAATGTTAAAGTTAAAAATACAACCAGCACAATTAATCCCAAAGATCAATTACTTTCAAAGGAGAAAGACATAGCTACAAAGTCAATTTCAGAAGTTACTGTTATTGAAGAAAAACAAAAATCGTTTGATCCGCGTCTTTATCGACCTTTGGAGGTTCTAGTTTCACTTATAGTTCACGACGTACAGGCACATCTTATGAAAAATTGTAATGAAACTGATCCGCCTTGTCCAGTTGTGCTTATAGAACGTTTTGGTTTTGAAATGAATAAACGTTATCATGAGACTATACTCCAGGTTTTAGTCAGTCCAGCGTACCTTATAACGTCCGATACACTTATTCGTCCAAATCGGGATAAACATATCAATCAAGGGCACTTATTACTTTCAGCAGTACAGGTTAGTAGTACATATATATCGTCTATTGGATAATAATAATTGCTATGGTATTTTGAGTGATAGAATATATGTCGGTACCTGAATTGACAATAGCTATACTTTATTTAACTACAATAGCATCTATTAGTTTTACTAGTACTCTGAAGATGACTATAGAATAAGTTAGCTTTTTAAAAACTAATTTCTTTTAAAAAAGTGTTTTATTTATGACCAACTAGCCCGTTTTAAAAATAAAATTATTATTAATAATGTTGCTAACCCAAATAATAAATTATTAAAAAATAAAATAAATAATAAATTTAGGAGAAAATTATGTATTTAACAATGCTACTTATATATTATTATAAAAAAAAATTACAATATAATTATTATTATTATATTATATATTACATTTGTGTGATAAATATAAGTGCTAAATAACTGACCATAAGCCCGGTTTAAATAAAATGTAGGGATATTTATAGGTGAAAATGAATAATTATTTTTAACTTCTATCTTATTAAAGGTACGTGGGCATGCAATGTTTAGCAATGAGGGCTGTGATTTAGATGAAGATACATTAGAATATTCATGGTTAGTAGAAGTACAGCTGGGAAAATTATCCGGCAAATTAACTCTGCCGCAACTTTGCAATGTCGTAGTTAGTCTCGAAACTCTACTACTATTAACAGTAGATCCAGAAAATTGTTTAAAATCTCCGAAAACAATACGAAACTGTCACCATGGTGTACCCACTAATCAGTGCCCATACACAAAGGAGGAAAACAAATACAAATGCCCTTCATCAGAGGATATAAAATACAAAATGACAAGATTATCAATGGACGCAATTGATATCTATTTGGTTGAAAGTGGAACAGCATTGCACACATGGGTTTGTATAAATGCAAATAAAAAGTGTTAAAAACAAATTATTGTTTATTTGGTTCTCTCCTTTAGATATCTCCAATAAGATTTTCAAATTGCAATCTACACGGCCAGAAAGTGAAATCTGGTATTTCAGGACTGCTACCAAGCATACTTTTAAGACTTTTCATTCTTAATAACGGTTGTTATTCAAACATGACAAATTCTTTTAATACAAATACAACTGGAAGTAATCGTTCTGGAAAGATAAGACGCTCTGAACAAGATTCAGTGAAGTCAGAAATTCATCATCAACAACCTATGACTAAAGTCAAGCGCAGTTCTAATTCTTTTTCTCAACGACGTGACTCAAGAGAAGAGGGTTCACGAAAATTACGCGAGAGTTTTTCCGAAGTTAAACGAGATAATGAATTTTTCGAAAATTGGCTCGAAGTTGGTTGCACGTCATTTGGACCAATATTACTTGAAGGTGCATCAGCACTGCCAATTCCAAATCACAAACTTCATATTGTGCAGCACAAGTAATTTATTATCATTTAGTATATAACTTTATCTAATTCTCATATACTTTATAGCTTTTTACGCGAACATGACGCTAAATATAAACGACTATGGTTTCTTTGGACGAACAATGGGACAATGTCTACATGTAATGAAATTTCACGTTGTGGCTGTATTGGAGGATGCGCCTTTTTCGGAAGTAATCGTAATGGAATTAAGTTCTTTAAGCCTTCTGTTCAGGATATGCAGGATAATTACAACATTGCAAGATATCAGTAAGTTTTTATTTATATTTTGTTATATTAAGTATGTAAAAGAAAAAATAAATTTGTGGGGGTATTCACGTTCTTACACTGTAAAGTGGGAAAAATAAAATACATTGAAATGTGTATTATTATTGTCGGTTTATTTTGTTACCATATTACTCGAGATCATGAATACCCCTTATATATATTATTAAACCAACTTATTGAAGAATTGATTATTATTTTAATAAATGAAGAAGCATGTTTTAAAGTATGTTTCAAAGTATTTAAATATATCTTTCTTTTTATTTCAATAGTGTTTTGAATAATAATAAAGACTACGGATTTGGTGAAAGTATTCTCCATCAAGGGCAACTTGTATTTCATACTCCGCCATATAGCTTACAACTACTATTGCATGACAGTAGCGATTTTAACGGCAAAGTAAATTTGAAATTATAATCCAAAATGATTTTATGCTAAACATTTTTAATTTAATTTTTAATCTAACAGAGTAAACATTATTGCTTTTCTGCTGACATACGTAATGGCAGTCTTAAAAAATCGGAACAAAGTAGTAAAGATTTTGCTAACAAATTTAAATGTAGTACTTCAATTGACAAACAGGAGATAAACGGCCGTAAGTCTCATGAAAGCATTGGGTCACCAAATACGCTGGAAAGACGTAGAGAGAGTAAACGCTTTTCTTACACAACATCAAGGTTTGTTTGGTTTTTTAAATGTGTTATTCTTTTTATTTTTAATATTATAAAATTTATCCTTTAGACAAACTTCTGTTGAGGTGCCTTATGCTCGCTTACTTGATAGTCCATCTAAAAAAGTTTTACTGCAAGATTCCAATGAATCACAAGAAGTTTCATATAGACGTAGTTCAGATTCTAATAAATCATATAATAATACACTGCACATATCTCCACCAAAGACAAGTATTTCAGATTCTAGGTTAACCGGTGAAGATGACGTTGAAAAGGATATTAAAGTGAGTAAAAATTAAACTTTTTATTCACTTATTGATTATTGATTATTGATTATTATTAATATAATTCTTTAGATTCGTGATGATATGTCACATTCAGCACCGCACTCACATCCATTAGAATTTGAAAACAAGGACACACATCTTCAGTCACAATATTTAAGTGATATTTCAAATTGTGATAATTTAACTCGTGAAGTTCAGCGAACTATTTCATTAACATCAGAAAATCCATCTGAATTATTTTTCTCAGCTGAAGAGGACATATCAAATATTATATCCCAAAGAGGTTCAATAAAGTATCGCAATGCATCAGGTGTCTTTTCAGGCAAAAAACGCTTTTCATCTGATTTAAGGTAATTATATATATAGTTTTTTAATACTGCTTTATAATTAGTTTCTCATAAAATATAAGTATAGTATGTGATTAGGGTAGTGCTTCGAAATGTTTAGGCATTACGATAATCGATCAAATCGAGTATACTCGATTTTGAAAATGAATGTTGAAATGTTTGTAAAATATATAAACATAAAATAGAGTTATTGGGCACAGCTAGATATTTTATTGTAGAAATTATTAAAATACTGCAATGATTTTAATCCAATACATATATTTTACAGGCCCTCTGGCTTGTTACTAACAAACGTTACCAAAAAGATTTAGTTATTTCCTTCATAAAATATTTGATTTTAAAAAACAGTTCTAAATATCTCGTAAGATTGAGCAATCACAGTAATCACCTAGCAGACATAAGACTTTATATATCTTGGATCTCGCATTCAGGCAATAATTAACTAAATAATGATTAATTATAATACAGTAGATTTGCGAAATATGTATTATGTTATTTATAAATCGGATTGACCACATATTTTTTAATTTGTATCTCATGTTATTAACGTGACTGCTTAACAAACTAGTGAATCCATATTCGCCTATGCACTTGGTTTGCTATTTGCTTACTTACAATTGTCATGTTACGTTTAATAGGAAATTGCTCTGTCTTGTTACTTATCTTCATAGCAAGTATATGTGTTATAGCTAATTTTCAATTGCCCATTATCAGTGGCCTTTGAATGTCTTGTCGTTGTCTGAGAAAAGTTTATTGATAAAAAATATGAAAATTTATCAGCCAGTGTTTCCAAATTCAACAGGTTTAAAGTTCGAAGTCTATCATTTGTGGTCCATTAATTATATATATACTGATATTTCCAAAGAAAGAAAAAGAAATATTTCCAAAGATCACTGATGATAGGCATTTGGCAATATTTAAAGTAGCTGTATTATCAGCCAAAAGAAAGTAATTAATTAATAATCTCCGTTTCTTTTCATCTCTGTTACTCTTCCTCTCTGACACTCTTCTTCCTCCTACTCTTTGTTCTGCTCCTCTCTCTCTCTTTGTTTCTCCATCTGTCTTTATAACTCTTTCCTTGCCTCGCTCTCCTTGTCTTTCTCTTCTTGTTTCTTTAGACTTGTGTCTCACTCGTTGTTTATCTCCTTGTCTCTATGCCTCTCTTTGTCTCTTTCGGTCTTTGTCACTGTCTATCTCTCTATCTTGTTCATTATCTTTACTTCTTTCTGTTTCTATCATTCGTCTGTCTCTCTTATCCGTCTGTCTCTGCCACTGTCTATCTCTGTTTCTCTCTATTTTTTCCTTTTTCTCTCTCTTCGACACTTTTATCACTCTTTTTGCCCATTTTTGTCCATTTTTGACTGATTTGAAGAAATAGATTATCCACATAACCTTGGCACATACTAAACTTCTGAATTTTTATAAAAAATACTAAACTTAAGGTTTTTATGCGAAACATATTTCTTATGTTATATCCTTATATAATATTTATAAATCTTTTTCGATTTTTCAGTATTGGTATACAAAATGAGAACTCTGCATTAACGCTGCCAACATATCGTAGTGACTTAGAAATTCATGCACCTGAAAATAACAAAACTGTTCCAAAGAGACCACAAAGCTCCACAGAGTTGGTATGTTTAGCAATTGTTATATATCCGTATTATCGTTTTTTTTTATTTAATTATAAGTATTATTTTTATTCGTAGTAATTTTATTATTAGAAAACAAACCTACATACAATGTATATGTTTAAATATGTATTTATTTATTTAATTATATATATTTTATATATTTTCTCGATATATATATATATCTATTAAAAACGGCTTACAGTTTTAGCTGTATTAAATTTTCTATTCTTCAACCTTTACTTTTTAAATTACCTTTAAAGTAATCATATGAATGCATGTCTATATATACGTTAAACGTGTAAGATTTTATACAATCGAAAGTCTACTTACCTTTTTAATATCAAAGTACCACGTTCACTTCTTTTCCAAATCCATTAATTTCATAGAACGAAGACGTGAGACGTATTAATGGTCTTGCTACACCAATCAGAAAACTAACGAACATTTCATCAAGACCTGAGTATCGACATTTCGTTATCGATGTGAGTAGACTTTTACAGCACATTAAGCAGTAATCCTTTTACAAGTCTCAAGTAATTTATAGAACGAGTAGACAAACATTTTATAATTTTGACATGCCTAATAGTATTATTTTGTTTCAAATTTCTTCTATATTGGATCCTTAGCGAAAGTTTCTTGTTCAATTTATGTGAATGTTATGTATAATTTGTTTTGTAAATTAAATTTTTATTTTTAATTCCTATTCCTATTTTTAAACTTTTGCACAGAACTTATAGGCTGACACTTGTAGAAAATAAAAGCTAAAATTCTTTTACAATTTATCTAGAAGCAACTGGTAGTACCAATAGTTCCAATTTATTCCTTGTATTATAAATGAAAGCAACATAAGTATGTATAAGAACATTCATATTTTGATTTTATTTTTTTTTTAAAAAAATTAAACATTCATAACAAGGCAGACACTAAGAATTATTTGTCCTTAAAGGACTTTTTACTTGAAAAACATTTACATTTTTTTCTGTTTTCACTTATCACTAATCCGTATATTAATCTATGCTTATACTCTGTATTATTTTTCTATCTATATTCTTCTAGTTTTCCTACCGTGTAAACCATGGTAAATTCTTTATTTTTGATTCTCTAACTTATCTTTGTTCATTTACGATGTCCTTAACAGCTGACATTTTCACTCTTATATGAAGGACCAAATGACTTCTGTTTAGTTAGGTTTTGTTAGAAGCACAAAAGACCAGCTATGACTATAGTGCGTTGCTTCACCGAGAGCCTCAATAAGTGACATACTGGCTGTTATTCGAAAGGGAAAATTTGTTCTATTCAGTTAGGGCCGTTTAAAAGCACAAAAGACCAGCTATGACTATAGTGCTTTGCTTCACCGAGAGCCTCAATAAGTGACATACTGCATGTTATTCAAAAAGGGAAAATTTGTTCTATTCAGTTAGAGTCGTTTAAAAGCACAAAAGACCAGCTATGACTGTAGTGCTTTGCTTCACCGAGAGCTTTAAAAGGTTCTTGTATGTCTTAATAGACATACTGGCTGTTGTTCGGAGGGGGAAATTTGCTCTATTCAGTTAGGGTCGGCTAAAAGCACAAAAGATCAGCTATGACTAAAGCTTTGCTACGCCGAAAGTCTTAATAGCTTACATCCGGAGCTCTCATTCAGAGGGTAAATTTGTTCTATGGCTGTAGTGCTTTGCTTCACCGAAAGCCTCAATAGGTGGCATTCTGGCTCTTATTCGAAAAGGGAAAATTTGTTCTATTCAGTTACCGTCGGTTAGAAGACAAGAGACCAGCTAAGGTTGCAGTGCTCTGCTTTACTTAGATCTCCGTAAAGCCAGTGTCTCGTACATTTTCTATTTCTATTTCATATCTATTTCCAATTTCTTTTCGGTTAGTGAAATTATAGTCCTGAATATTTAACCTATTATTTATTAACAAATAAATGGTCTTCTTTATAATAGAATAATTATTATTTTTATTTTATCTGAGATATATATTGTAGAGGATTGAGCTGTTTTCTTGATATTTTAAGTGCTGATAGTTCTCCGAGTTGATTTCGTTTACTATAGTTTAAAATTTAATTTAAGTTTAACATAATTAATTAATAGTTAAAATTTTAGTACGTATTGACGGTTAACCTGCATGTTACAATATTTATTACTGTTGAGTAGTTCTAATTGTACTTCATATGCCTGCTCTAATAATTTATAATTAAGTCCCAATTGTTCTTGAGATGATAATTATCTAGGTGAATCATTATCAGTAGTTAAAATTTTATATATATAGTTTAGTTGTTGTTTTCATTATTGTGATTAATCTGCTACAAGTTTTAAATAAATGAATTAAAATATTCGTTTCGGATTTTTTGTTTTTGATTTACTTAATTTAATGTTAATTTTATTTTAAGCTTTGTGCGAGTTCAACTAAATTAAGTAAATTAAATAAAATTTGTCAAGGAAGTTTAATTAAGTTGACTAAAATTTTCTCGACTAAATTATGTAAAGTACATTTGATAGTTACTAAAGAAGTTATATCCAGATATCAAGGCTAAAAGATGTGAAGCTGTACATTGCTGTTACTTATAAAAGCATATACGCGCCATCTACTGCCGACTGGTATATTTAATTTTTGCATTGATTATACAAACAATGACTAGATGGCGCATCATTTTATTGAAGGCAATTTTTATGTAGAAATGTCCATGTCTGTCGTGCAAGGTGACTGAAATCTCGACGCTATGCCGACACTGTTCTGGAGTTTGCATTGTAGTAAGTGCGTGCCTCCCTTTTGCGACACTCGATCGAAGGTGTAAATTTGGTACCACAGTGGTCAGGGGTCAGGTGCAGGCGCCTCTGCTCTGGCCAACTGACGTTGGCAGTTTAGTAGTAGCTGTGGTTAATACCCAAACTTATGCTGGAAGAATGACAGTATTCATTTATTATATTTTGGCGTGGAGTTGCGTATTCATCACCAGATGCTGTGACCCAAAGATCAGCCGATCTAGTATTGGTATTGGTAAGCCTCGCTCCTTACCACGGAGGAAGTTATGTTCTGAAAACATAACTTCCAAAGAATTTCACCGGGGCCTTGATTTGCGCATTATATTGATACATATGTTTTTGAACACCGTAGTGTTAGACCTCTATGGTATAGAACGCTACGTTAAATCAGTAGCGTTCGTAGTGCGGTGAAGAACACAATACAAATCCATTTAGTCGTGTTGTTCTTGTAATCTATTTTGGTATTTGGTCAACTGAAAATACAAATCGGAGTGTGAAAACCCTATATGGCGTGATGTCCCTCAATCTGTCAGTTTTTTGATAATATCCAGTCTAGTTTTTTAGTTTCTGAGCTAATCTTATGCTGATCCAGTTAATGCTGGAACCACATTTAGTTATCATGTAGGTTTTTCTTTAATAATTACTAATCGTTAATCGAAATTCTGATGGAGTATACACCTTTTCTATACTAGTACACTATGTACATTATGTGCTTTATCATTTTTGGTCTAACAATTACCTACTGGGATACAGGATTCATCTTTAATTTTAATAGAATGATTTGAATCAGACTTATGTCTTATACTTATGTCTTTACTGGGTATATGGCATGCAATTACTTTTTGTAAAAGTAAAAATTGTGGGCTTGTGAAATCAAAAAAAAATTTTTGATTTTTTAATTTTGATAAATTGATTCTTAAAATGTAAATTAGTGATTTAACGAGGCACATTAATGATTAGGTACACAAATAAATAAGTAAATCTATTGCGTTAAGGGTATAAAGTGATCGAAATCGTATAAAATACTGAACATACATTTTTTAAATACTATATTTCTTGTATATATAAAATAATAAAAATAAAAACTATTTAAAACCCTGAACTGATGTGCTCGTATTTTATGAAATTTTTTCTTTAAGTAATTAAATAAAATTTTTATCTCTGTCTGTTGAAATTTAGTTTGCATGCTTATGTCTAATGTATTGATTGTTCTATGGTTTTAGCTCTTCGATTAGCAAATAAGAAAGTGTAATGAACGGAGAGAAACATGAATTTACGTGAGGGAAACATACGTATTTTTATTTTAAACTTGAATGAGAATCTAATAGAGCACGCATTTAAAATGTTAAAATAATCCAATATTTTATTTATTTATTTTGTTCAATATGTTAAAGATTGGATCACGAGGATCATCTTCAGGTACTCCATCATTATCTTCGAACTCATTTATTTCAGCGATGTCATCGCAAGAAGATGTTGCATTAGTTAATCTACATCAACAAGTTAATCGGCCAATTATCGACTCACCACTTCTTATGGCCAGTTATTTAAATCATTTGTCGCAAGTGAAGTGTTTTAATTGGACATCATGCTCTTTTCCCTTTGGACCGGATGTCTTTTCAACGCCACTCTTTTATGAAAACGAAGATGGTGGTCTTACTTATATAGGCAGCAAAATGGTACCGCACTTTGATACGTACGCCTTCTGGCGGGAAATAAAAGTTGTTCCGCGGTATGAAAATAATACAGGTAGCAATAGCTCTGCGACATTCTTTAGTGGGCCGAAATCTCATCCATGGGATCCTAGTATACTACTGAAAGAGGAGGAAAATGAGAAAACTTCAAATGGTTTCGACGATGGAGAATTCATAAGCTTACAGTCTGAAGGTGCTGCATGTACGTCGGTTGTTGCTCGTTGTAAAGGACAAGCTAATGTCTTCCTAACACCACTACTTTTGGAGGGCTTACAAAGGTAAGAGTAAAGAATACTTGTTTTTTTTTCTTAAATGTTTAGAGTTTTATTTTTTTAATTTTATGTTTAATTTTATTTCGTTTAACTCGAATGTGTTCTTTCTTATCTTCGTTATCTTCGTTATTATTTTGATCTTGACAATGTGGAAATGAATTTTCCAAATCTTTTATATATTCTGCATTAAGCAGATACTAAATTAGATAGGATTATAAAAAATTAAAAAAAGCATTAAAGCAGTGTAAAACTAACCTGTTTGTGATTTTTATATTCTCTTTTTGATCGTTGGTTCCACAAATGAGGTCCATTCATTTCATTTATTTTAGCTGGTTTGCTGACTGTATCATCTCGAATATTTCCTGATGATGGCGTCTCTTTCTCTTGCCTACAAAATTAAAAAAATATTTCTATAACTTATATTGAATGAATTGTTAATGTTTACTATAACCTTAAATTGTTTTGCGATCTCCGATCATCACTATCATCCTCAATGGGATTCGATGTATCCAAAAGTTGGCTTAATACATCCAGATCTGTATATGTTAAATCACTTAAAGCTATTTCAATTTCTGCATCACTTAGCCCCTTCATCAAGTCAGTGAAGTTGGCACGCTTAAATAGTTGCATCTTTAAGGATTTCACTTAAAGTATTTATACATTTATACCACAAGAGAACTTCAAAAATCTTACCAATTTATTATTTATACAGTCAGTCGTTAAAAAATTTCCAAAAAATAAAATGGTAAACAAATAGATAGTAGCACTAAAAACTAACGACATTTTAAACAAATTTTGATTTTCTTTTTGATTTGAAATATTTTGACAAAACGTATTCCTGAGATCAAAACTGAAATTAAATATTGTTAGATATTTTAACTGAAATACTTAGTGAATATCGCCTCTAGATGAAAATATTAGTTCATATTAACTATATAGTAATTAGATTAAAGATTAAAGTAATTAGATTAAAGGTTATACGTTAAAGGTTATATCAAAAAGCAAATTATAAATTAATTATTTATTAAATTTCAATAAATCACCATATGTAATTTTAGTTAAGTCAGTTATTTCACTTAAACTATGCAACAAAATCAGTAGCCCTGTTTTTTTTAGAATGCCGCTTTAAGATTTTGAACTATAAATAATCAGTAATACAAAATAAAAAATAAATTTGAAATTAATATAATTTAACTATTAACATTTTAAATTTTTTAAATTATATATGACATGAAAATAAGTAATATATAATAATAAAAATTTTGAAAATACTATTATCGTTCGTTTAGTGTGTAAATAGTGAACTCAAGTAGTGAGTTCACGTGGTCTTCTTGAATGAAAAATTCGAGACCAGAGACATGACCGATTTTAGAAATGTTTTTTATTCTATTCTTTCTGTGTTTATCAGATTCTTACATATTTACAAGAAAGACGTACCGTTTTGCCTATAAAGTTCCAAAACTCTGGCTTCTCTAAAAAATGCAATTCCAAAAGTTACGATGAATTAATGATAAAATAAAATTAGGATAAGATTGATCCATCTTTACAATTCTTGAAAGGGATCGTACAAGATCTTTAGTGCCCCTTAGTTGTATTGGAGTGTTTCTCCAAGTCTAATTCCTTTAATTAAAAGACAGAGCTTTCCTAGTCTTGAATCCTTATGATCCATGAAATACTCTCCCAAGTGTTTCCTACACTTGTGCTTCAGTGCCTGGCACACCCCAAGCACAGAGTATGCAGTTTCTCTTTCTTAACTACAGTATCTGCAGTCTGAGTTGGATTGATTTCTTAACTTGGATAGGTAATTATTCAATCTCCAGTGACCGGTCAATAATCTTGTAATAATTCTTAGGTTATTGTGTGATTACGCTATACAATCTTTGAAGCGTTTTAGGTAGTAAGTTTCTAAAATCATTTTAGATTGTGAAAGTCTTATTAGCCTTTCCCAATATAGTTCTTGTAGCGTTACTAAGACAACAATCATTTCAGCTTAACGTATCAAACTGTTAATAGATAATTACATCTTAGAATATTTAAAATATGAGAAAATCGTGTTAAGAAGAGTTCGGATTTGTTGTACCAGAACGCTTGTGTCTGCGTGTGTAATTACTTTTGGAAGTGCTGCCCCACACCTGTTCGTCGAACATTTTAGCATGTTGAAAATATGAGAACATCAAGTTAAGGAAAGTTCATTAATTGTTGTTGCAGCATACGGGAATCTATTTATGTAATCCCTTTTGGATCCCTTGTATGATCCCTTTTATATTATCGGGCACCACGATACTTCTTCGTCGAATTTGATGAGTGGCTCCAGGACGTAGATTCGTCCGTTCTCGGAGTCCCCTAGTTTGTGCCAAATCAAACTATGCATAAAGATTTAGAAGTTTATTATTTGAAGAAAATAATAAGTTTAGTGAAAGATTCAAGGGCTAATTAAAAATTTATGATTATTTATTTATAATATTTCTGCAGTGGAATTCCTACAGACCTTTTCTTTAAATTGTTTAATAAGTAAAGTATGCCTTTAAGATTTAATTATAAGTTTAATTATAAGCTTCAGCTTTTACTAATCTGATAAACGTACAAGATTCCTTTCTAAGGACGTATTTTCTTAAGTATTGATAGATTAGCTTGTGTTATAGAAGGCTTATAGACAGATTAATATTGCTAGATCGTTTTGTTTAATTAAGTTAAGCACAGATTGATATGTTTTATAGTATCACTAAAGCATCCTTAATTTTATTAAAACCAATTTATGATTTTTCCAGAATGGTTGAGTCAGTTATTCCAACAATTTCTTCAATGCACTTACTTTCGGTTGTCAACTACATACACTCATCCTGCGTCGCTAAAGTCAAGAATGATAATATTTTAAAACGTGATCAAAGCTTAAGTTATTGGTCTCAGGTTTGTGAAACATGATTGTTATTGTTCTCTGAGTTTCTTTATACATTCCAAATATTAGGTACATTCCAATTCAAAACGATCGACAACTGAACGTAACCTACAAGGACCTGGAGATTCTTTCTTAAGCGATGTGTATGAAGAAAGCATATCAACAAAAACACAAGGATTGATTGTATTACCGAAAGTGAGCATAACTATGCTGCAGTCATCTATTATTGAAGAAGTGATTTCTATTGCCGCATTGGATAATATGCAGGTAATTTAAAAAATTATAAAAAATTTATATGTGATTCACTACTGTTCCAAATACTTCTCTATTAAAACTAAAACATTTATGATATTTTTTTTTGATTATAAAAGGATCTTAGTTGTGTGTCGCTGCTAACGTTTTATATAGAAGGTGTTTCAACAAAATTCCATTTGGGTAAAACAACGCGTGCTTCCATGCATAATGTTTATATACAACAAACCGTACAATCTGGCAATAGTCATAAGAAAGGTGGTATAATGAAAGGCACTAGGGCATTGCTAGCACATTTGTCATCTCAAAGTCGACCCGATAATATACAAGGTGAACCAATTTTAATAGAAACATCTGAGAAACAATTGGAAGAGTTGGTAATTACATTTGATGTGGGTCGTGCCCATGCTCAATTAAGAAGACTGAAAACGGAAAGTAATGGCAGTCAAGAATCACCAATTATAGTTACTGCTATACCGGAACACAAAAGTAAGGTACTCTTTGAGTGCTTAAAAATGCCGGAAAGTACTGGCATTGATAGTATTGGTTATATTATATTTGAGTGCGGCTTAGAAGGTGTGGGTGTGAAAATTGTGAAACGTTCACATTTTGAAAAATCTGAAAATACAAAAGAAGAATTGGCTGAGATAACAGAAAGCGCTGCTAGTGGTGTAACTCGTCCCATAAATTTAAATGATTTAGTTGGTTCAAATGCATCTAATATTGGAGATGTATCTGCCACTTCTAAAGCAGAAGCTGCATGGAGATTAATAACTAAAAAACCACCAACACCAAAAACACCTAAAGAAAAATTTCAAAACGCTCTGGAAAATATTATAATACCAGATAAAGGATATGCCGGTAACGAGAATCGAAAACAAAATCCAAAACAAATGGACGATGAATTTGAGAAAAATAAGAATAGTAAAAAACCAGAAGGTTTTCATAAAGTTTTAGATAATATCAAGGAGACTGATAAAACGTCTTCCTGCGTGATAGAGTTAAAGTCTGTATGGTTTAATTTTGCTGCTCCACCATGTGTTCCAATAACACGTAAAATTGATTTAACCAGGTAATTATGAAAAAATTACTTAATAAAAAAAGCTTTATTTATATCATATGTTATTTAGGTTGGATTGGAATTTATTAAGTACTGCATCTCCTGCCATAACTGCTTGGATGAATCCGAGTAATTGTTTGGCTATTAAAATTGTTGCATTGCTAAGAGCTTTACATACAAGACATACAGCTATAGCAGCTTGTCTGATGGCGGATGCATTGGAAAATGAGAAAATACAAAGAAATCCCAAGATCAAAAAGGTAAATTAATGTTGTAAAATGTAATGGAAAAAACGCTAATCTTAATTTTTAACTCAAATTGTAGAGTCGCTACTCCAATAATTATACTCTACTCTCTAAGACATTACAAGAAGATCCTAGTTGTCAATTGTGCTATATTATGCAAAAATTAGTTTTAGATGAAGGCGTCCAAAAAATTGAAACTATTTTTAAGAAATCCGATATTCCCCATCTTAACACTTTGAGACAGGTGAGATCACTTAAGTATATTTCTATATTGAATAAAATTCAAATTGATATTACCTCAGGGAATCATTGTCTTAAGTCGGCAATGGAAAAATACTCTATATAATCCAATTTTGTTTGAGCATCAATATAAGAAAAAACTGGCACGACCTATAAATGTGACATTTTCTTTTCCACAAAATGAAGAAGAATGTGAAGACCAAGAATTTGAAGCAGAAGCTGAAATTGGTACTTATACAGGCATTGGAGAAAATCCAGAAGAGAGTGAGAATGCTTTATTACTTGGGCAAACACATCATCATCGAACTCATATTGGTATTTTTTATGACGCTTTAAAATTACAAAACAAAAAATCGTTTCAGTACCATAAATTGTTTATACACATTTTTATTAAGCATTCGCATTGCACGCTTTGGAATTTCAATTTTTATTTAATAATCTACAAGTTTTTGTTTCATTATTTACTCTTGATTATTTAATTATTTATTTGCTTATTAAAGATTTTATACTAAATTTTTTATCAGTTCAAAACGGAAGACTTTCTTCGGATCACCCATAAATCATAAATGTTATTAACTTTTTAATTTAAAGCTTACAATACCTAACTAAATGCTTGTGGTTTTCAAATATTCTTAAAATAAGTGTCCATAATAAATTAATTTTATAACAATTAATGTAATTTATAATATATATTTATAAATTTTTGTATGTATCACGGACAATTCACAATTCATTGTTAAATTAAAATAGCATGATTTTTGTACGTTCCATTAAAATTGGCAAATAAACTCATGGTACCGATATATATATACATATATATATATTAAATGATCTATATAATTGGTAAATAAATTTTACTTGAAAATTGGTAAAAAATTGAATTAACAATTGAATAATATGTAAGCACATATTATGTTTGGGATTTTTTTATAAAAATAAAAATTCTGGGCTATTTTAGCACGTATATAGAAAAAAATACTCGTACTGTGCTTTCTGTGTTAATGCAAAAAAATCTTCAGCAACATTTATATTCATAATCTAATATACTCACTATATATGATAAACAAATAAGAAAGTATTCCTTCCCACTCTTATTCTTAACCATTAATTATCTTCAAAGGTGAGATAAATATTTTTCTTAACCTTTTTGTATAGATTCTTCACAGTTTGAAATAAATTTTAATAATGAAGCAAATCAACATCTTACCTCACAAAGATCTGCACCCACATCTCCAAATATTGCAACTTCGCGTAGAGTGTAAGTTAAATAAATAAAAATATTAATTAATCATATTAATTATAATTTACACTTTCTTTTTCAAAATTAAATTTTAGAAAACCACCCATCAAAGGATCTACTTTATCACATGGCAGCTCATCGCGTTCCAGCATTCAAATGTTGCCAATTATTTCAGGTTTGGTAGAAAAGCAAATTCCTGAAATAGGTAAGTTCAGTTATTTTTCTTTTATATATAAAATAATTTAATATTGAATTTGTTTCTCGACCTGGAAAGGTAAATAATGATTTTTATATATTTTATTTCCGGCTACAGGTCCCCATTTTTTTTAAATTAAACGTTTGTTTAATATTTTTAAAAATTTTATATTTTGGCTCTCATTAAAATATAGTCATTATCACCGCAAGAAATAATTAATAAACATTAAAAATATATTATTAAAAATATATAATATAATATATATGTATAATAAATTGAATAATCAATTCAGCACTGTTAATTTCAATAACATTCAAATGTTTAATTAAAAAAAAGAAAATGGGACCTGTAGCTGGACATAAAATTTATAAAACATTATTTTATAAAATAATTTATTAGAATGTGTAGTGTTAGTAACAATATAGGTTTAGTTCTCCAATATCTGTCACAACCGAAATACAGAATGTTTGAAGTCTATCCCAAAAAAAAATCTGATCAAAAATCGTGCAATAATTTAGGTTAGGTTGAGTTATACCGGCGATCCCAAGGCGATCTACTTAGGCCTATAGGCCCTTTGTGCTGTCGTATTATTAAAAACTCAATGCTTAAAACCATCTAGAACTTTTGGCTAAGCTTATGATGCTATTCACAACACAGCAGGTGGTAGGCACTTTCATCGTTCTCACCATAACTGACGCAGTAACGGTTGAATGGGAGATTTAGTCTCCTAGCATTGTAACCTAGCATGGTTTCTTCTATTGCATACAAACGCCTGCATATCGTAGAGTCTTCCCATCTTTTATTAAAAAGTTCAGCACAGAAAGAATTCAAGACCATTTTGCATAATGTTAACGATATGCCCAGATTGTTTAGGTATTTCAAGTGGTTTCCTGAAGCACCCCGTGTTGCTTCAAATCTCATCTTCAGTTTTTATGCTTATTATCTGATAGCTAGAGAGCAATGTTTGGCCGACGTTAACGCAACACTGTTTCACCAAAAGAAAAAAATTTAGAATTTTTTGCACCAAACTGGACTCCACTCTTTTCAAACATAAATTATCTTATCATAATTTATCTAAAATGGTCTAGACTGGTCCAGATGAAATGTTAATAGTATCATCATGGTTTCTTAAAACTTAATCGATGATTTTTGGGCAGTGATTCTTTGACTTCCTTAAAGTGTTGTTTATCAGTTGGTGGTGTTATTAATTTATATACAATACTTTTTTTATATTCTTTAAATTGATGGTTTATACCATTTCCAAATATACCAAAATTTTGTGACATAGCCTGACACCTTCTGTCATATTCCCAAAATTACTCCAACAATTAGATATTGTAAAAATTGCAAAATTAAGTTTTTGTTAACCACAAAAAACGTTCGGAACTTGTGTATAAATGCAGATATTGTCAAATGAAATATATCATAGATGTCAGTGGTAGTATTATCAACCTAAAAAAACAGTTACCAGAAAAGAAAAGCTCGCATATTTTTAATCAAAAATTTCACCCTGTTTTTTGATCACAGTAGTAGATGAGCTTAGTTGAGCATTGATTGCAAGCGTGAGTGAATTGAAGGGGCTTAGTTTGTTATTTATATAAATTAAATTTATATACAGTTAATCTCTCATTATGCTTATACCTGCGCATAAAGAGAAAGAATTAAATTTGTTGTAAAGTACATTTATTATATTTTAATGAAAATATCACAAATATTTTTAAATTCAAACGGATTATAATGGATTGACAGTACTAAATTAACATTTTTTAATTGAATTTTTATTGTTAATTAGAGTACGGAGCGTTGCAAGAGGGTTCATTAAGTTCTACTAATTCAGTGAATAAGTTTTGGTTTGATTCGGAAAATGCCAAGGAAGATTTATACTTTTGGATGGCAAAACAACAGGAAAATAAAATAAAAGAAAATATAAAAGAGAAAGAAATTACACGACCGGTGCCTCCAAAATTAACCACGCAAAGTAGCACACGTAGTGGAATATTGCAGGACTCCATTAAATTACTGGATGCACATTTGATATTTGAACCATTGCTGACATGCTTGGGTGTAATGCCACAGCAAATGGTGAACAAATTTACAAATTCTGGTAAGTTTATTTTGTTGTGATATTTAAATAATATATATTAAATGAACTCTATTCTAGATATATCATCGCTTGAAAATTTTGGCACAAACCTGTCGCTTATTGGTACTTTCGATTCGATACGTGTGGACATAGTTGTTAGCGAAGCTGGAGATAAGAAAACTAATAAGCCGACTAAAATAAATAAGAAATCTAATATGCGGCCTTCAATAATGATAGATACTCCACTGTTTCTTTGTGAACGTGTTGGCATAGAATTAGAAGTAATAAAAATGTCTGATGGTATGGTAGACCAAGCGCGCCAGAACGTTATATATGTATCAAGAAGGCAATTGAAGAAGCACACTAGTACTGTTATTAATTTCAGCTTAAATATTCGCTTCATATCGCAGCAGGTACAATTAATCTTAAGTTTTTTGTTATTGTTAGTCTAATTTTTTCCTATCTTATCAGGTCAACATGCCACTTTTGCGTTTGCTGCATCAAATAACCAGTATGTACCAAAATGTTAAGGACGCCCAAAATGAGTTTCATGAACGTCCTGATATTGTAAAAAAATCGCACACAAAAGATGAGTGCAGTCTAGGTAATAATAATGGTTTTAATATTCTTTGAAAGATAATTGAAATATATTTTACTTATTTTTGCTTAGCCTCAGAACCAAATGAGGTGTTTGGCTCAGTTTCGGATCAATTTAATCAGAATGAAAATGTATCAGATGAAAGATATGACAAGTTTCATGAAATGGTTTCAGTTAGCAATCCAACTGGAAGGTGCATATATTAATAATATTATAGTTTTGCAAAAAAAAAATCTTTATTTTATCTTAATTCCATAGTAAAATCCGTACGAGTGGTATTGGACCGTTAATTCAACTTACACCATCACCAAGCGCTAAAAACCGTCCACAAAGTTTTGCTCAAAAGTTACGCTCAACTGGGAAATCCGTAAAGGGAAAATTAGGTACTTTTGCATAACGTATACATACATAAACGAGAAAAATTTCTTTTATTAAACAGTTTTTATAATATTTATAAATGTACTATTTTTAATAGGTTACACCAATTTGAATGAATCGAACTCTTCACCGCTGCGAGATAGTCCAACAACATCAGCAAGTGATCAACATTTATTCAAATTATCGCTTGAATCAAAGGTTTCATTAAATGGTGCTGGTATACCTGTTGCACCAGGAGAACATAATGTTACCAATAAAACCGATAGCGGACTAATACCACCTCTATTGGAAACTTCTAATTGCTGGAAAACCATATACCATTTGTTAGAATTATATGGAACCATGCCTGAAACAAAAACCATTCAACGTAGTTTTGTGATACATGACAACCAAGATACCAGCAAAAATTCTAGAAAATCTGCTGGTTTTTCATATAGTAGACAAGAGACTCGCAATGAAGACGATGATATAGCTAGTGCTCGCATCTCGTTGCCACAAAACCGAGATATGCTAGGTAAGTTTGCTGTCAAATAATAAACAATTTTGATGGAATAATTATTGTTTGTTTTTTTTTTTTTTGAAATAGCGGAACCCGTTTCTTTTGAAAAAACACGTTTTGTAATTTTCGGAGTTGCAAAAATTCATAAAACCCGGCTATTAGCTACATTAAGTGGTTTAAAATTAGAAGCTGAAATCACAACACTAAATAGCAGTACCACTTGGCGTAAAAAAACGCGTCCAGTATCCTTAGAATGTTCGCTAACTGGACAAGTTGGGAGAGCTATGATTGTACTTCTAGAAGGGGTAGCACCAAATCAACAGTAATTAATTTTTAATTCCATAGATTTATGCAATATCTAATAAGTTTTTATTTCACAGAACTGTAGTGAAAGTAACTGTTGGCAAAAGTCAAACACTTTACTCCAGCTTAACTAAACGAGGAAAAGATAAAAATAGTGGTCTTTTATCAATTGGTCCTGTAAATATTGAAATACCTCAACATCCTGTCGCGCTACATAGCATGATGACGCGTAGTTCTAAACAGTTGTCCTCTACTTTACAAGAACTACGAGTTGGCCGCAATTCCGGACGTAATACTACACGAGCACATAATGCTGATGAACCTGATTCTCCGTTTCATACGCGTACGTCTGGGGTTAATAGTGATTTGAAAGAAAAAAGTCAACAATCAAATAAGAAGTTCTCCACACAATTGAAACCCATGGCACAACAAAACGGGTTACTTCAACCACTAGTGATGCAATTTAATATATTGCTACAAAGTTTGTCAGTGAATGCAGCGTTGCTGCCATCGTTACAGGCGCAATATCGTATGAATCATGTCAGTTCCACCGGTGTGACGGGCAACCGTGCTAAATTTGTAATAGACTTGCCGACACATACGCTTAGTTTTACAACAAAAATTGCAGTCAGAGTAAGTACTAAAATAAGGCAGCTTAAAAATTATGTACAAAATTAAACATAAAATATAATTCATAGAATGAAATGAATTTACCGTCAGAAGCTTGCATTGCACTTCCACCAGTACATGTTAGTGCAGAATATATACCGGAACATAGACATACTCAAGAGGTAATTTGAAAAGAATTTATATTTGTGTATATAATTTCATTGAAGAACTCACAATCAACAATGTTATTCTTTATCTAGGATATGGAAAAGGTGGATGGAGTTGTTCTACGACAAGGAGGATATGTCAATGCCTCGGCTGAAATTGGAGAGTTTGAAAGATGTTTAACAACAGATCTCCTTAATCACTTAGTTTTTGTACAAAAAGTGTTTATGCGAGAGGTGAACGAAGTTCTACAAAAGGTTTATGGAGGTGAAAAACCAGTACCGTTATGGGCTGAGGACAGCGATGTAGGAAGTGTACAGGAGTCTTCGCTTAAACGAATACTTTTTTCTATCAACATATCGATGAAACGAATTCAGTTAACTGCCACTACTCCTTGTTCGTCGGCGGTTCGTTTTGAAACAGGCACTTTGGAATTGCATCTCTCAAATCGGGTTAAAAATTTGGGTTTAGGAGAAAGTAATGATCGAAAAATGTTTGGAAAAGCTCATATCGATTTCAACCTCTCTCTGGGTCAAATTATTCGGCATGTTATTTTTGACGAAGCTGAGCCGGAGTATCAGCAATATGCCTTTTTCCACACTACTATCGGCTTGCGTAATGCATTCCAAGATGAACTACTTAATGAAGATAAAGAATTGATATTACTTAAATTAAAGCGTCCTTTGGTATACATTCAACCGATAGCTGTGGACAAAGCCATATTAGTTTGGTTGAACTACAAAAATGCATACGAGTATTGGGCTGAAAAGCGTGCAAATTTAAATTACGAAAGTACTCAGCAAACACAGCAGGTAATTGTTTTGTTCTTTGAATGTAATTAAAAAAATTTGTTATTACTAACTTTTTTGATAGGTTTTCGATCGTGTGGCTTTTAGTCAGTTTAGCAATATTGCTGCTCCTAATCTTTCCACCTTATTCTTGCAATTGACTGTAGAAGACATGGGAATTTGTTTGCCATTAAACCAAGTTGCAAATGTAATAACAAAGTAAATCACAATAAATACATTAATTAACAATTTTCTGTTTTCAGTCATGGACTAATCGTTCTTATCAAGATTTTGAGCCAAAGGGGGCTGTTGTTATAACGCTGGAGAACACAATAATTTCTGCTTGTAATTCTGGATCTCTTGTATCAAAGGGTAAATTTCAGGGATTATGTTTACGATTTGCTGATGATTTTGAAACCAATTTGGATGATTGGAAACCAAACTCAAATGATCCAATGAATGTGTGTATTGTATCAGAAGGTACATACGAAGTTTGTTCGCGTACCACAGCTGCTAAAAAAATGGATAATGCTAAATGGCTACTTAATGTAAAATGGCAAATGGAAGGTGTGGATATACATTTAGATGTAAATATTGGTAAACAATTATCTTCTTTGGGACACACTCTTACAATGTTGACGGGCTTTGAAGATGAAGAGACAAATATTGAATCACCGGATAGTGATGATGGAGATCAAATGCACGATCCTTTTTCACGTCGGCGGGAGTTTGAGAACTTGCCTTCCTTTATGTTTGACCCTACCATAGATCCAAAGAAACGTTCGTTTCTAATGGAGAAGGAAATTGCAGAACAACTGAAAATAATCAATGATTTGCGTACCTTAGGTGCATCACATAACACAATTGCTCACGAAGAGCGTCGTTTGCAAGAATTGCAAGCAATTTGTTATAAATATTTCCGAAGAGATATGATACAGAAGCTTAAACGCCCAACAATAAGAAGATCAATGAAAAACTCTAGCCGTTCATATTCATTTATAGGTACCTCCTCAAGCCGCGAACCAATGGATGATAATGGAGAAAATTACACATTCCGTCGCTTGGATCCCATTGCTTCCAATGACGAGATATCTAGTCTTCAAAGCACACCAGTATCAGGGCATTCTCGCAGCGCTTCCTTAAGAACGTGTCCGGCTAATAGAGTAACATTTTCTGAAACAATGAGGCAAACATCTTTGCCGAATGCAGACACTGATACAGAAATTCAAGATAATGACACTGATTGGAGAACTCACGGAGAAACTGTTACAAATGAAATGGATATTGACGGCACCTCCGTTGAAATGCGAAGAAAATATGGACATCAAAAGCAACAGGTAAAATCTAAACTTTTTTTAATATACCTAGAGAATACAAAAGTACTGGGATAGTACTTTTTAATGTTATGAAAATTATTAAAATTATTATTATAAACTTTAACTTCATTTAATAATAAAAATATGTAATGAATTTTCTTTTCAGGAGCCAAATGTTGATTTTGAATTGGATATTAAAGTGCTAGTAAATTCGGGAAAATGTGTGCTACACACGAAAGAAAATAGTGAAGAACGATATTTAATTTCTGGTCCAACAACAGTGAAAACACACAAACGTGAACGAAGTATAGGAAACGAATGGGGTAGTCCAACACCTTCACGTCGTCAACGTGATAAGAGTAAATTAAGATATAATACTTCCAATAGCGGTGTGCTATCTGACCTTACTATTTTCCACATCCCTGGCCTTGATGTGAAGTTACACTACCAATCAAGAACTGTTTATGAAACATCAGAAACAGTTCGTGTTACAAGTAGTGAAAGTCATTACTCAGCAACATCTGTCATAGGTCGTCGTATTGGAAGTAAACGTGCATCACTTTTTGCTTGGATGACATTGCAAAGCATACCCGAAGAAACTATAATTTCACCGCATATATTAGAATTTTTAGAGCAAACCTTAGAGCCGATTCCAACAAAAACTGAAAATAATGGCGGTCCGCAAACTCCATCAAACAATCCTGTAAACTTAGATATATTGCCAACAAACTACGTAACGTATGCGTCATTTCCAGTGGATGTGATAGTATACTTTCACATGCAACCATCGACATTCAGATTTTCCTGCTTGCCTGTTTCTCGTGTTGAATGTATGTTACAGCTTCCCAGTTTAGATATAGTATTTAGTTCAAAGCGTTCTTTAGAAGAAGAACAAAATCAACAAGAGCATATGCAACTCACTGATAGGGGAACTGATAAGGACAAAACACCGTCTGGCGGCTTAAGGTAACTATAATTGTTTTTTTTTTTTTGCGAATCAACTATTTAAGATTAAAACTCTTTGTAGTGTGACTGGATGTCTAGCAGATTTCAATGTTTACATTTTTCATCCTTATGGAGGAAAAAAGACTAACGTTAAGGAAGCACAATTTTCTCCGCTCACTGATAATGAACGAAAAGACTCATTGAGTACAAATGTTGAGTTCGTTAAATTTCATATAACTCGATGTCGCAAGGTTTACGTTGAACCTTCAATAACCAGTAAACGTTCTGTAGATCAATCGCGAGCAGTAATACGTTTCTCAACTATAGTTGACATTGGAAGTGCTTCTTTTAAGTATGATATGAGGCGATTAACGGAAATTTTAGCTTTTCCAAAAGCATGGTACCGCCGACGTATTGTACGACGTTTGTTTTTGGGTGATCTTAGTGTACATCAATCGGCAGGAGTAGATCCAGAAGTATTATATCCGCCAAAAGATGTTAATAAAACATTCAAAACTCCAGTTAATGAAAATACAAGAAGAGCTCATACAGATACATTTTTCCCCAAAAACTCTATGTGTTCAAGTTTTGAAACATCACATCCATTACCATTAGATACAACGCGCAAATTTAAATCTTTAGATAAGTCATCAAGTGCAGAATCATCAGGCACACCGCCATCCGAAAAAAATCAAATAACTGCTTGGGAAACACTTGTACTCTTTGCGGTTAACTTTACAAAACTAAGTGTTCAAATGAATATGGGTAATGTGATGGGAAATGTTGTTTGGTTAACAAAAGATTTCCAATCGGATGGTCGCTTATCAATCGGCAGCACAGGATACAAAAATATGTATATTGGTATTTATTTGGGAAGCTCATCATTAGATGCAAAGGGTGGTATTGTTGGCGGTAGCTTTGAAGTCAACAAAATAAATACTCGTTTTCACATAAAAGAGCAAACCGGAGTCGAGCCATATCATACAATGGGTTTAAGTTTCATGGCTTTAGAATTGCGACTCGATTACATGGGTACATCAGTGTTAATGACACGTATAAGTTCTTTCTCTGCCGCCTTAAAAGACGAGTGGAAAACGACAATAAATACTGCTTTTTCGAATTTTGATGCTGGAAGTCTTGGTATTAACACTTCTACAGAGTCTAAGGCAATAATATTTATACACGGAGACCTCTCTTTGGATCAAGTAAATATAATTTTATGCTCTTGTGTTTATGTGTGTTATTATTTTTTGTTTTCTATTTAGCTGCAAATTATGATATCTAAATCTACCACTGCCGATTTGTTAAAAATGTATTACAAGCTTGAAGAATTTTTCACGCAACAGTTTAAGTCTTCCAAACGTGTTTTCTTCAGTTTAGAACCAAGGCTGCACGATCGTAGTTCTAGTATGAAAAGACGAAATAAAAAGAAAGCAAATGGGGAATATTTACCAAACGTACCAGCGGACGGCAGTAACACAGATGCGCGACATCATCGACATTGGCAGAAACCTTTGGAGCAAGTAGTTGGCCTGATAGTGCCAACACTAGTTACTCGGTTGCCGCGATATGGTACTGTTTTAGGTGGTAGTGTGGTATTGCATGGAAATAATATTTCGTTAGCATGTTTCCATGGGATTAATTTCAAGTCAAAGTCTTGGGCGTTATTTAGTTTAAAATCACCTTCAATCAATTTCGCAACAGAAGCACGTCATTGTCAAGAAACAGGACAGGTTTTCGTTACACAAACGTTAACATCAAGTTTGGGCCCATCTGGTGAATTACAACTGCAAAATCATTCAATGGCAATTGTGAGCAGAATATCTCGTACTATAATTTTTCCACCACAATTTAAGACTTTAAGCGAATGGTTTCAATATGCCTTTGCAAATAGTGAAATTGATGGTAAGTTAAATGAAATTTATAATTGTAATAATAAATATATAAGTATGTATGTGTTTTGCAGCTGTAGATCGTTTTCCTATCTTAGAACGTGATCGTGAGATCGCTTCAAATTCCATTGAACGTACGCGTACTGGAAGTGCCAGTGGAAGTAGCTCCAATAAATCACAAGAACATAATCACAATCGTGAAGTAATTTTCGCTCTGCCAAGTTTACAATTACATTTTAAAACTGAGCATAAACAGGGTCCAACAACGCCTGATCTTAATGGTAACATACTTTTATTTGTCGTTGCATAATTAATTTTAATATATTGACTTTTTATTTTAGAATCGAAACCAGAAGTTATATGTAGTTTTATTACTGAATTTGATGATCATATCTTTGTCACAGTTGACGCAGATGCATTTTTCTTTTTACACGATTTAATTACTTCATATGTTAAAGAAAAAGAGAAAGTCGTAAGTATTATATTTTATTTGCAGTCTTGACTGATAGACTTTGAGAGAACCGCGTTGACTAAGAAAGAATAAACTGTTTTAGAACAGATATATTTCTGTTAAGTGTAGTACATTAACATAGTAAATACTATACCTATTTTGATATTGAGTCATAATTAAGAGTGTGGTGTGAATTGAAATAAACTCAGTTTCATTGGGGTGGACATCTGGCCACTTCCATGAGTTGGGTACAAAGGTCAATTGTACGAAGGTTTCTGTGTGCAGTGAGGTAAGAGAACAGATGATCGTCGTCATGGGGGTGGAGTTGTAGTTTGGGAATATATTAAGAATACACGTGTACATGTATGCGTAACAAGTAACTGTTTAGCACTTAGCTATATACTGATCTCAATTGAGCTAGGACAGTTTTTGCTGCACGAGGGAGTCGTTTCTTTTATTTGTAAACAGGGTTTTTGAAATATTACAATTTATTCTACAAAATTTTGTTTATCATATGCTTCGCCTTATATATTATATATATATTATATTATCTATAATCGTATAAAATCTAATTTACTTTTTTTTTATGCAGATTGGTGGTCAATCTGGTAGAGCTGCGTCACCAAATCTGTCTCAGAATGTGAAAAATCAAAAACCTCATTCGACTGAAGACTTAATGAAAGAGAAGAAATCAAATATTTTACCAGTAAATGGATCAGTTTCAAACACTGCGGTTACCACATCAACAACAACATCAACATCAACGTCAATGTCTACTGTTACATCTTCAAATGTTTTAAATCACACACTTTCCAGCAACTCAAATTTAGACCTGACATTTGTTCATAATAGTTCGAATAGTAAAATATCATCAAATTTAAATAACATAAATAAAAATACCAAAGATCTTGTGATATTAACATCCAATCCAACAATAGCCAATCCGGCATTTGCATCGACCGTCGATGGTAACGTGCTACAAGGATCGTCAACTGCACCTACGGCAAATGCAACAGCTTCGGCATTGATGGACTTAGAGTTGTTTGTGCGCGACTGGCGTCACTTTGAATGTCAGACATGGCACTTAGAACCAACAGTACGTTTACTTTCGTGGGCCGGAAAATCTATTGAGCCCTACGGCATTGATTACATTCTAAATAAGTTGGGCTTCAGTCATGCACGAACAACAATACCGAAATGGTTGCAGCGCGGATTTATGGATCCTTTAGATAAAATTCAAGCACTTATGATGCTTCAGCTTTTAGCTATGATACGAGAGAATAAAGTCGAAAGCGCTTCAAAATCAAAATCCAATTATTAGTTTTAAAACCAGTAAAAAATAAAAAATAATAAAATTCAATTATAGCAAATGCTGTTGACTGTTGGTATTGCAAAAAGTTATTTGTTCGTTTGTATTTTTTTTTTTTGCGCGAGGTACTAAGGTGTTAACAATGATTATTATTATTAATAGAAATAGTTATATTTTTAATTTAGTTTTTGTAATATATTTTTTGCATACATATAATGTAAGTGTATATTAAATTTTGGTATTTAATTTTGACGAAGAAAATTTATGGGGCAATAATTATGTTTGTAATTTAGATTTAAATTGTTTAAAATTAATATGAGTGTAAAAATAGTGAATGTTTGCGAATTTGCAAATTTGCGAATCAATAACATTTAAATTTATATATAGTTTATATTAAGTTTAGGGCTTCAAACAGAATAGCTAGACAAAGTGTCTGAAGCAATTACTCACTCAAATCTATCAAAATTTGCAATAATAATTAAGGTTGGTGCGTCGGCAATTGTGATCACTGATAAAACAAATTTCTTTATATAAATAAAAATATTTTGAATAATTTTAAATAGATCAATTCTTTTTATATTAATTTATTAAGTATGTAGCTGAATAATGTAAAAATATATAATAAAGATTATAGTATGAGTATAAACACTATACATATTATCTGTATTAAATGTTGTTTGTTATGATACGATATTGTGTTAGAAATTCCTGTGTAAAGAAGTGTCATTATTAACACGACTATTGTCTATAAAACTGCATATATTAATTAATTAATTAATTACTAAATAATAGGCTATGAATGCATCCCGATCTAAAAGATCTAATGTGCACCTAAAGGTCCAACTAAGACAATTAGTTGGATATTTATAAATCTCGTAATTGCTGTGGGCTTAATTTGTTCTATTTGTTTTGCGATTAAGATCCCGCTTCCAAGGTAGTCAAGTTTATGTCTTCCCGCCGCTGGGCAGTTGCACGGAATATATTCTGATTTTTCCTTCTCCTTATGACAGAGTCGACAGAAATCACTTTCTACCGCAACTAAATTCTTCATGTGGTAATTGAGTCTACAGTGTCCTGTAAGAAGCGCAGCTTAGATTTTAATATCGTTTCTGTTAAGATTAAGGAAAACTGTGATCAATGTATCGTCTTGACTGCCGCATGCCTGTTTGGTCTCACCACATTTCTTGAAATTCAAGTAAATTCTGATGAAATATATTAAAAATTAAACCCTTTTTTGCCTGTGTCGGAATGCCATTGTTGGTATTGATACACTCAGAATGTAGTTACATTAATTAATCAAATGAATGATTTTAATTATTAAATTTTTAAATTTTCAATTTTTAATTTTCATAATAAATAAAAATATAAATAAACTCGCAATATGCTGAAGTCATGGGTTTGATGACTTAAGGCAGCAATTGGATGGTTATGGGTTTATGCAGGTGACAGAGCGCAGTTGAAGTCTTCATATTGAATGTGAGACCGGCACAAGGACTGACATAATAGAGATAAAGATATATAATGAAGACAAGTAAAATTTTGCTAAAATGAATTAAAAATTAAAAATCAAACACATTTTTTTTTCCAGTGGGTAAAAGTAAAACAAACAGTGGGTAAAAGTAAAACAAATAAAAACTGAAAGATTTAATTAACTGCAGAACTACGATTGAGAATTTTTGTTGATTTCCTGAAAATAAGACTTTTTTCTTAGCATACTATAATATATGGATGTAATATACCACTGAGAATCTTCAAATTTAGTAATGATTATACGATGTTTTGGTAGTGATAGCATACATAGTTTATTATTATTGTCGCAATAACATATCATACCTGATTATGTTTTTTTATCCACTGCAGTGATCAAAGGACATACTGTAGGCAAGGGATAGCGTTTAGAAGATATATCTGCATTGTTATTATTCCGCCCAAGTGAAGTTTCAGACTATGTATAGTCTGACTTTTAAGCTTTTGGTAAGCAAATTGATGGACACGTAGAACACTTGATTTTAATGAATTTCTCTGATAAATCATTATTGAAGTTGTTTGGCTGGTAAATAATCCTTTAAAATTAGTTTAATCAGATTATCTGAATACCAGAAGAGTTTGTTTTATTTTCCTAGTAACAAACACAGTTTCGTGTCAAAATAACCAGAATATATCGTGATAACATATATATGACAAGAAACTACAACCTGTAAGCATTCAAGTACTATATTTTGGGAGTGTTGCTTCATTTTTTAGCTAAAAGATAACTCCTGGAAGTATATATTAAAATATTTTTATATATTTGAAATATTTTCATCCCTTTTTTAAAAGAAATTTACTGCTGAAGTTAACAAACTGTTATAAAAATCCTTTGTTTATGTGACAATCCTTAGTTCTCATGTTTTTAATTCCCCACAAAGCCAATTACCGATATACTTAGTGAAACTTAGAAAGAACATATATTATTTTTATATTAAATTAAATTAAATTAAATTATTAAAATAAATTATATTATTTTAAGAGTGTTGCAATTCTAATTCTATTAATTAATATCCGTTAAAGTTTCTGTAATTCTAGTAAATAGCAGTATTACCATAAGTAGTTTTTTATATATCAAAAAAGATATTCCTGTAGTCCGACATTGGAGACTTTTCAAAGTATTTCTTTTTTGGTCGTGATGAATGAAACTACATCTTTAAAATTATTTCAAATAAATCGTGATTGAAGTAAGCGGAACTGGAACGAAAACCAAAACATTATATCAGAAAAGAGTAGTTGGTAATCCAGGAAGATATAATAGATATTAAATAATATATTGTTAATATAAGCGAGACTTCTAAGTGTGTTTGATATAATATTGATAGAGATTGTAAAGAACAGTGCTCAATTGAGAGCCTTAAAAGATTCCTAAAGTAGAAGAACAAGCAGTGCGTGTATGTGTGTACCCACATCTTTCCAGTCAAAGATTAGAAGGATGTCTGCGAAAAATACACTGTTACATTCTATTGAAGATGTTGATGAAAAAATTGTGAAATTTTCGTAATATTTTCATGACATCGAATAAATAATTATATGACATTGATAAAGATTTAATTTAAACAAGTAATCGAATTATGAATGCTACTTAGCTTTTGCCGAAACTATGGAGTCATTTTCAGTACTCGGCTCTAGTAAAGTAAAATCCATCTTGATTTTAATTATGCAATTATTGATTTATAGTTTTTCGCCTAAAAGTTTATTTAAATTAAAATAGAAGGGCCGATGGTATATGTATTAATTGTAGAGCAGGATACCAAAAAAGAAACCTATCTGAAAAAAATACTTAGTAAAAAAATTCTGAATACCCGAAGAATACCATTATTATTTATTATTATTATGTGATTAATACTATAATCAATTTTGTTAATTTCAATTTTCTTAATCTACGTTCTTTAATCATTTCATGTCTTGAAATATTGGATTGTAATGTTTCGTCTACAAGATAAATAACTTTAGTGTTGCTAAGTAAGGTAAGGTTAAGATTTCTCAACACTTTCTTTACAGATGGGATAAACATTGATCTCTGCGAGGTTAGTTTTTTTGAGATGGTGCATACTCTGTACTGCTCTATTGGAAGATTATAAGAATAAAATACCCTCTTTCTAATTGTATTAACTATTTAAGACTATTTCGGATGTGATCTGTAAGACCTATAAAAAACTTTTATTAAACTTTCTGTTTAGTGTCAGGAAACTTTCTTTGAGACTTTAGGGTAGTATGTCTTTGCCTTTGCGGTTTATACCTAGTTTACAGTGGTTCTTTCATTGAGTTAACATATTTAAAAAAAATTGACAGAATTGTCTTCGTATTTGGTAAAGCAGTTAGTTGTTTTCTTGCCTTCCTAAATGTAATACTCCGAATCAAATGATAAAGTGACACATTCAATTTTAATGCGATAGTCGATAGACTAAAGAGTCTACCGAAGAAATTCTTCTCATTTGGGAGAGCCACTTGTCAAAAAGTGACACATTTAATTCTAATGCGATAGTCGATAGACTATAGAGTCGATTATGCTAATTGTAGTTGGGTTCCAGATTTGACAAAGTAGTCATTCCTTTGATTGCCTTCATAAGCTTTAGACTCGGAACCACTTCATTAAATGATACAGGTTTTTCTAATATCATAAATCATATTATGTTTTTATGGAATATCCTTCAATGTGTTGCCTAAAATGTTTATTATTGATTGATTTTTATTAAAATTTTCGATTATTATTTTGCGGAAAACTCTTTTTTTTTTAAAATTTATGTAAACTTTTTATTGTTTTTTTTTTTTGTTTGTTTGTAGTTAATAATTTTAAAATATATCTCATTCAGAAAATTGTCTTCTACCATGGATCATTTCTCGTCAATGTTGCTTGTAGTGAGGTAGCTATCTACTGCTGATGGTTTATAACTAAACTGACTTTTAATCTCAATCTCAACCTATATCCTCTATTTAAATTTTTATCTTCATTAGAAAAAGGAATCATGGGCCAAATATATTTATACCGCATACGCTGAAAACACTTTGTATTTTAAAATCACTTCCAAGCTTAAACTCAGCCTCTACCCCTCATCAATTTCTTGTCTTTATTAGAAAAAAGACTATATTTTTATTAGGGTATTTGCATAGTAGTATTTGCTAAATTCATGAGTATTTAGGGGATTTTTCGTTTTGTTTTTGTTATCAAAAGTAAATAAAATTATAAAAAAAAATTTGTGATATACAAGGCATTAGTTGTTCCTGTATCTTTTATTTGGATTTCACTTGGGTTTCTCCAGAAATTGTGTGACATGGTCTAATTGCTTCTTTATCTATCCATAAGTTATAACGTAGTCATGCTTTGGAATTATTATTTTATTAACTATTTATTCATCTCATGCAACTTTGAAACCCTCGTATTAATAACTTTTGTCCTCACCTATCTTGAAGTGCGCAATTTGAAGCAAGGAAGCTGAATTCGTTATTTGACAAATACAAACAAATACGGCACCCGGAATGAATGTCTGCTTCGGTCCACAGCGCTCCAGTGTGCTGGAATACGTATGTTATATCAGAATTTAGGCACAAAAGGCCCTTTGTTGTAGCATTTAAAAAAGCAAAATTCTGGTACTTAACATTTCCTCACAATCGGATTGTTTGCATGCATGCTAGTTCCTTTCACAGTTTATATTTTGTGTCCTTGCAGCCTTTGGAAAGGAGGACGAAAATTAAAATAATTGAAGTCAAATTAAGTTTTTAGATGTGTAATTATTCACTTGTTCTAGGTTTGCTGTCACTTTAACTTGTTCCAGTATTTTGAAAGAATAATAATGTTAAATTAAGAAAATGAGAAATACTGAAATAATAGAGTTGAGCTTAAGGCGAAATTGTTTTCTTTTCAGCATTTGTGCTTTTTTTATGTGATTATTACTTCATATGCTTTCCGCATTTTAACTCAAGTTAAATGAATTTCACAGAGTCTTGAAAGAATAAAGGACTTTCGGCATTTTTAATTGTTTTTTAAATGAATTGTAAGTTCCTTAATTCTTATTTAATTTTTAAAATAAAA